GTGATAGCCAATACAATAGTTTTATTAAAAATAAATGTTCGAGGTAGTTATGAACAAGAAATCTGCCATGAAGGTCACATCTTTTAAGTAAAATATGTCAGGGGTCATAGTCTTCCTGTAACCATGATTATAATTCCTATGCATTTTGAAATTGAATTCAAAGGCCACTTCTCTCACAATTGCAGTGTCCGCTGGTCGTCATATTGATCTTACCACACCGTTTGAACTGTAATTGAAACAAAAAACATGATCATTTGAAGTGAAAACAGCTTATGATGAGTGTAACCTGATATGACCGGAAAGTAGTAATATATAAAGATTTGAAACTTTCAATAATATCAAAATTGACTATGGCTACAGTTTAGGTATAACAAGGTAATAGTAGTTTTATCCTATTGAAGATAAAATTCTAAAATATAAATACTGATATCTGACAGACTAGTGTCTGACAAAATAAATACGGACCGGGAAATTATTCCGGCAATAGTGGTATTGAACCAGTACATGAAAACAATATTACTCTGTTGTTTGTGCTTTTTCGTGCTGACGGATTTATTTCAATTCTTAAATTCTCTTTAATCTCATCCTAAAAGCGATTGTCAAGAAATTCGTAGTTAGTAAAAACATCCAATTTTGAAGTACACTTTGTTCCCTTGACGACTTCTTTGAAAATGGTAATACTTGATTTAAAATGCTTTATAAGGAAATGTATCAGAAAGAAGAACCACTATTTATACTGAATAAAAATCGGTATTGTACTACAGTTGACTTTTTTGTCCAATATGATGTATTCACAATTCAATGAATCGACCCAAGTTGGGGCCCTAATTTTTCTTGATACCAGTTGACTTAATCCAGATATCACATTGTTGACAGTACAAATTTAAAACTGATGGCGCATTAAAATAAATTCCGATGACAGTAATTTATGTACTACAAATATCAATGTTTGACAAGGATGACCATTGACCATCACAAACTTTTTTAGAAGAACATGCAGGTATCAATATGCCACTGGGAAAGCTTTTCACGATATAACAGTACCAACTTAATTTAAATAAAAGTTAAAAGCATTGTTGGTGTCAAATCGAATAAAAACTTTATTTTCGTGACAAAAGAAGATTTAAGTACAAAACTAAGCTGCTAAAAATTTGAACTGTTCCCTATATAAGGTTATTGTTGTAGTGTATTAGAATAATTTATATATGTAAAAGGTGAACAATAGAGGAACAATAGATATATGTGATTAAAACGGTGAAACTGTAATTGTTTTTTTTTTTTTTTACTTTACCATATATATAACTATTGAACAAGTATCTCAAAATCCAACATTTTTTTAATTTATTTTTTGATCCAGGAAACTAATATTTAACGAATCTATGGCTTGCCAGGCCTAAAAAAATTGCAAGGTTATATCTGTTCTGATTTACCAGCGAAAAGCTAATCCTTTTGGCAAAATTATTACGATGAAACTTAAGCATGTGCCGACTAATACTATTATGTATACATGTACTTTGAATTCAAGATAAAGATATTTTCTTTGGAACATATTTCTGTACATTTATGTAAAAACGACATACCTTGGACCAGGAACGCAATCAAATCAAATTCATTAAACTGAACAGGAAGAAATGTAAATGTTTTCTTTTCAACGCAATTTAAATAGATTCAATATTTTAAATATGTTAACCTAAACGAGTCATGTCCGCATTGTATATGGGTGGTCTAGCACGGAATACTTTTGTAAAAAGATAACTTACAAGTCAGTTTAAAGTTGAACGTTTGAAAAACTATCAAATGTACAATGTGTGTCTACCTAAGCTATCTTCTTGTAGTAGCGAGGTAATCCTTATACTGTTTGCTATTAAAGTACCGTCTTATATTTCATTATTCAAATGAACGAACTCATCATGTTGGTAGCTTCACAGTGAGGTGTATTTTAATATTGTTTTAACTTTATCGACTATGATCTAGAAGGCAGATGGTGTTGTTGCGTACGACAAACTGGTTTAACACTTTCCCGTTTTATGCCGGAACTAATTGAGAATTTCTTGATAATTTGTTCTTTGGGTTTGCTTGTACTTATTCTTTTAATAAGACCTCGCATACTGATATATGATACATATATTTGTATGCAGATTTTCCTGAAATCGCAATAATTGATCTTGCATCTTTTTTTGAATTCTACAAAAATCACAATAACAAATGCAAGCAATGATTTCTGAAATTAAAGTAATTGTTTGATGTAATTTGATTGCAATTTAATTGTCTTGATTTAACCGACGAGTCTGTTTTAGACGAGCGTCTTACAAGACTAATAATAGACCAGGTGTATTTTATATGTGATTATGATTGTGTAAAAGCACAAAATAATGCGTAAGGAAATGATTTTTTTTTTTTTTTTTAATCAATTGAAGCATGCGTTAATAAATTGATGAAGTCTACAAACAATTCCATAAAGACGATAAGGGTTTCGAAGTCCTGAAAGGATTGGACATAATTCTTTTACAATAATAACAATAAACTATACGAACCGATGTTATATAAACATATGGATGTCGACGTGACTAGTATGTGTACCATAAATAGTGCATAATAATTGTCTTCCCATTTATTTTACACGATTTTATTATAAATATAACATATGCTATTTTGATTTAGAAACCTTTATTTCCAATTGGCGATGGTCCAATCTTGAACGCTGACTTTTAAAGTAATATCAGCCAATAACCACAAGTGCTTGAGGAAAGTTCCATGTCTTGAGTCCTCAATAGACCTCATTTATATTTAGTAAATATTTTTTTCCCGATGGATATTTTTTTTGTTTTGCTATTGTCTAATACGACTCAGTCATATATTCACTAATAAACATTTCAGCTTCGGTTTAGAGTTTGAAAAGACATTCATAGAGCACATATATCGCTCTTACGTCATTCGTCAGTTTGATAGTAAACATTCATAATCGCTGACATGATTTGTACATATAAAAGACCGTTTGCGCCTACAGAGTACGCGTACCACGCATGCATCACCCTTCATGCGAATAAACTGTCAGAATCGTCTCAGGGTGACTACAAAACATATGTAGTGTCGTCAATAGTCATTCGTTATCGATTGTTACTTTGGCGTAACAAAACATTCCAGAGGTTAACGTCAATTGAAGCAACATAACGTACATCGCCGTCCATAAAACTATAATGTGTAATGGAAAAGTTGAAGTTGGTTTTTTTGTTTTATATTTTGGATTCAATTTTTTACATTATGTACTATTTTCTTATGGTTGTGGCCTGTAATCTATTGTTGCAGATATATATTTCTTGTACCACACTACAAGGAGTGTGATACGAAAAATTGATACGAAACTGCGTTAATTTGATAGGACATTGATGATTTCTAAAAGTCAAGACGACGTACATTTTGTCCATTGCAACAGACATATGTGATTTCTTCAATAATTAACAAAACACTCACACTCTTCACCTGAAAATCAACTTTTTTTCAAAACTTATTACAAATTTTGAGCGAAAAAAAGGTTTTAAATGTCTGATGTAAACGTTTGACGCCGGAACAGGATATAAAACTCGATCAACGATTGACGGAATTTTTTATACATAAGAAAAAAGATAGTGTTGATCATAAGAGAAATCGGTTTAACAACTTGTGACATTTGGATATTGCTTGATATCAATTCTCATTATTAAGTATAAATACCAGTAGTTAGGATAAACTCGTTTATTATGATATTGAATTAAATAACTCGAGTTGATATAAAATGCTATCCAATTCTCACTCATTATGAAACCTATAAATACAGTTACGTCTAAAAATTGACAATATTGATGTAAGTTTTACAAATTGGTGGTAAATAAATAGTAAACATATATTTTATCAGTCAATTTTTCTAAAGTTTGCTCCTGTTTTGGAACAAATGAAATGAGATCAACAATACTAAAAATCTTCAGAATTTCACATTGTTAAAAAAACTTAAATGAAAATAACATTTTTTTAAAGTCATCGTATCAATAACCTTTCATGCTGGCACAAAGGTATCGAGTACGTGACTAGTGGTACCCTCAGAAGCGAAACGACTACAAGCAGTGCTTCGATCCAGTGGTTAAACTTTTTAGTTAATCACATTTTAGTTAAGGTTTTAATAATAAACAAAAACGAAACACTTGTTTATTACGCAGATGGTATCCTCGAATAATTGAGAGCATTGAAGTTTTTTTCAAATTCAATTCATGTAAAATGATTTATTTTTTGCAAATGTAAGAAAAAAAGATCAGAAAAATATACGGCCAACCAATCGTTCTAATTCTTCAGTTGTTTTCGATTGGATATTAAGTTGTTAGGTAATCACAACGTTTTGTGAAAGATTTGGGGAAAGTCAGAATGCTTGAGATTGTTATTGGTCAAATTAGTACCACGATTGCATAACAGATCATAGAGTGAAACATTTTAGCAGCAGATGTTCATATATGTTAAAATCCGTCAATTGATTTTGATTTTGCAAATAACGCTTCAGGAAAATAGAACTAGGTCCCCCGGAGAAGAGTTATTTGATATTTATCAGTTGCAGTCTAATGCTTTCTTGAATTGGTTAAATTTTACAAAAACCTCAATAAAAGCAATGCCTTCATACAACTTTAAAATGTCATATCAAACAATTTCTGAATTTATCGCAATAAATAAGTTTGGAAATTGACCTAAAAATTGTACATGACCGAATAATCTATTGTTCAAACTTTTCATAAGACTGTTTCAGACTAAACTGCATTTACTATTGGAATTGAATAGAGCAACTGAATATACTGATCAGAACTGTATACCACATATTGTTATCATCTATGAAAACAGAACATAAATAATGCATCAGTAAATCCGATCATGCTTAGCATGAGTCTGGATTGGTTTGAAGAAAATGACCTAATAAGGAATGGAGAAAAATGTGTCAAAAAACAGCATACACGAGAAAAGCTAGAAAAACATAAACACAAACATTAACATTATTATGGAAGCAGATATTGTTTTGCAATTATTTAGTACTAAGAAATGAAACAGAGACATTACACTTATATGACATATTTCATTGTTAAGTACTTAGTTCCTTACATAACTGAAAAAAACAACATACAAGTTTCGAAAGTGAAAATCTAAACACTGAAAAAAATAAAACAAAATAAATTTGAATAAGACACACACTCACATCACAAACACACACACACACACACACACACACTTAAACACACAAATGCACATATCCTGTAATACAGCAAACATAATTCAAACTATTTATCAACATTCATAATATCGAGTAGATCAAGTTCCTGATTTTAAAATATACTGCATATTTGTATAGTACAGTGCACGTATTCGATGTTTCTTTCAGTTCGTGTTCTTTCTCATCTGTTTTACAAATATGTACTCATTTGTATAAACTAGCTTTTTCAATGTTGAATCATTAGTTAACTAGTTAGTGATTGATGTATGCTGTGTTTATCTGGTCATATTCATTTGATTCTGTATCCTTCCTGAGTTCTTGATATGTAGAAACATTTTCCATTCTAACATCGTCATAATGTTGCTGATCATGACTACAAAATATAAACCAGGTAAAAAAGTATAAAAAGTCTTCACATTATTGCAAATATTGAATAATTATTACATGAAATGTATACAACTTATTGGAATAATACTATATTATAAACGTATAAACAAATACAAAAACATGCGTTGAACACACGGAGTCAAATAGCTTGAGAAGCAAAAAACAATCATTTCTAAAAACTCAATTTGATAAACTCTATAACTGCTGCCCCAAACAGAATAATAATATTCTCGAAAAAAAAGAAAATATTTCACCCAAAAAAAATCTTCAATAAAAGTCTGCATCATACTTCTTACTTTCATCACCAGAAGCAAGAGTAGGTCTATTAATAACACCATCCCGTTCGTTCGACGGCGACGGTTTTTCTACAAAGCATTTCTGGACTTTGCACAGTTAGTGTGTGTATTTTGACGATATGCACATCCTTTATCTATTAGTAAGAAATTTTGATTATTTTTCGCAGACTTGCAATGTTTAGAACTCTGTCATTTTGCAATTTAATTCTACAGACAATACAAATGGATTGTGTCATGTGTCACTCCAACAGTTTTCATGAACCAAGGTTTGAATTCAAAACAACATACGCTTTGACGATATAAACTTTCATTCTGGACATATATATTGTTTTTATTAACGGATTAATTTGTTTAGTGATTTTGTACAGAGACACCAATCACATTTAAAACAAAACAGTTTGACAGCAAAAAGCTGCTGTTTATTCAACTCCGACTCCAGGTCGTTGCCTTAAAGTTGTCGAAAATGCGTTGCACGTCTACAAAATAAAAACAGTTCCAAGCGTATGACTCTAAACGAAATATCTTGCATGCTGAAGTGTTTTCATCCGAATTACATCTTGTTCAAGCAACTTTATCAATTAGAGATTCGTCCAAATATATTATCAAATCATTAATAACAAACATACCTCTGTGTTTTCGTTGATGCTTTATCTTTGCCTATAGCAAAGTAGATAAAATATAATTATTTGTATATATATATATATATGTATATAGTACTGTAGTATATTTAATTCAATTAACAATTATATGAAGATAAAATCAAAAGAGTAATTAACATTTTGTCAATCTCAACTTTCCGTAAATATTACTGCCTCAATCAAAATGGATACACTTTGGACTTCACTTTTATCAAACATGGAAAGGAAATCGATCAAATTGTTACGGTCCTCAAATAGGATAACTGGTAATGTACAGTAGAATTGGAAAGTTATAATTTCTTGGTGTCTGGAGGATCGGATGTAATATATTTCAGAATACAGTCGAACCTGCTTTAACAGTCATCTCATTTTAGCGGTCACCTGCCTCTAACGGTCATTTTCAGACTCTCCAAACGTTTTCTCTATATAATTTAACTGATTTCAGCAGTCACTTGTGTAACGCGGTCAGCAGTCTCCTTATTTTTGAACGAATTTGTCATTAACACAAAAGTCTTCATGACGACAAATATATGTTGTCAATATCGAAGTCAGAATGAAAATCGAATCCCTTTTGCAACCGAGATTACGCAATAGAAGGTGAATTTTGAATGCGCCTTCTTCCATTCTTTTCAGTTTCCATTGAAAAAAGTATGAGCTACCTATTTCCCCACGAATACATGAATTAGCATATTTCGAAATTGTCTGCAAACTTACAGCTCCGGGATCCGCTATTCTTTATTTCAATGCTCGCAAGTACGACAATTTTACTTTATTGAAAACACATAAACTGTTTGACCCGACCCCGGACACGGATGATGTCTGCATCGAAAATTCTGGAACCTTTTTTTTTCGTTTCAAAGGCCACCTCTCTTGAGCGGTCACTTTTGATACCCCGAGACTGACTGCTTTTTACAGGTTTGACTGTATATAATGAAAATACTTGGATCTTGGATCTAATATGCAATAAGTGATAGGTACAGGCGAAAAAAACACCAGAAATACTAGGCTTACAATTTGGTAAGCAAAACGTTAGCATTTCCTCTACATAAGACTCGTCGGTGACACTGGAATCAACAGCAATTTAAATGCGAAGTTGAAGAAAAGATGTTTACATGTATGTCGTTTTACAATTTGAAAGTCAAACCAAATATTTTTCTCCTTTGAATTGTTTTATAACATTTTCTCATTTCGTGGCCTTTTGTTCTCTGGTGGAATGATGCCTCATTTGTCACCATACCACATCTTATTATTTTAGTATTGATAGGAATATTGTCCTCTAACACAATGTAAATCTTCTTAAGATATTAAAAATATAAGATATGATAAAGGTGTTTCTGCATCATTAATCTAATAAAGTTAAACTATTTCTTACTTTGCTTTTTCTGTAATTGCCGTTTTTTTCTTATTACAACACACACAACAACTGTCATAAAAATTCCAAAAAGAACACCTCCACTAAAAATTCCAATCCAAGTAGCGACTTCGTTATTGCATTCTACTGTATTTACAGAAACTGAAATAAAAAGGGTAAAAAAAATACAGAGTTCATATCGTATATAATAAAAAGAAAATTGAAAAAATTTTGTTTTACATCATTGGAGATCACAGAAAATGAAAAAGTTTTCAGACAACAACCAACCTTGCATACAATTGAATCCCTGTAATCCATGAATGCATCCACCAATGCATTCTCCTATTCTACGATCACAAGGTACATGCAAGCAAAATGGTGAGCATATCTGAAGACAGTTACTACCATATAAACCATCCCTGCATGCTGTAAAATAAGTTTTAATAAAAAAAACATTTTAACAGTAAATGGCGCAATTTGATAAAATTTCTTGATTAATTGAATAATTGATTGGTGGTCAAAAACCACTTTGTACATTCTCGGCTCTATTATGGCGGCCGGAATTTATTGAAGAAAGCTGGAATTATCGAAGAGAACCACCGACATTCGGCAGAAAAACATGCAACCCTAGTTGATTAAGATTAAAACAAAATAAATCTTGCCCAAGAGAGGGGATTTGCTTGTAATTGATAAACTTTTTAATAAATAAACTTTTAATCTGTATTTTTACTATAATTCCTTTTTCTGAATGAGACGTTTTGAGTATTGATTTGCATGGCGGATGGGGTTTGCATGCTAGTTAATGCAATCTCTGTCATAGCGCCTTGTTTCTCTCCATTTAGATTTCGTCCAATTTCCTCGGTTGTAAGTGTGTTTCATTAGTTTGTCTGTATAGTCATTTTAAGAGATTTTGTGACAAAAATACAGTTGAAGCATAAGATATTATTTGTAGTTCATTATTTAATAGTAATCCATCATAAATTACCCGTTTGAACAATATGTTAACGAAAACTACATTGAAAATCATCCCTTTATCCTTGGTTGCTATGAGATTCGTTGTTGCTTTGGTGCTCTCTTCTAGGTCCGCGCTTTAGTTATATAAGAAAACCGATACAGAGCACGAGTTCGTTCATTTGTTATTTGGCTGTTGATGGTTAAGCATCGGAAAGAGAATACCAGCAAATAAAAAAGTCTTACTGAGAAGTTTGTTAACCAATAAGTTAGAGTTGAAAGCTTGTGGTTTAAAGCAAGCAGTTTAGAAGTCTCTACAATAGTTGCAAACTACCGGGTTGTTCTGAAACTGTAATTTTCGACGGGAATGGTCGCCGTTCCTCCAACAGGTGGCTTGTGATTGTCTGGTGACTTCAGTGTTCAGAGACCACGTGTCTCGGAGACAAGGTGGCTCAGGAATTAGGTGTCTCGGAGACTAGGTGTATCAGGGAATATGTGTCTCACAGACTAGTTGTCGCAGGAACTAGATGTCTCAGGATCTTTTGGTTTTGAAGCTTGGGTCTTAGTTCTTAGTTTTTAAAATTATACTTGTTTAACAAGTAAGTTGCGACCTCGGAGTCAGTTAAAGGATTAAGGATAAACTGAAGTTATGGTTTTTAGACCTTTTGATACAACTTTATTGTGTATAGTTTTGTTGTCTCTTTGTAGTTAAGATTCAAAGTTTAAAGGTTGGTCTCGTAGTTTATGGGAAAACTTCTAAGTTGTAGTTAAGTTTAGGGTTAATTGAAAAATTGATAATTGGAGTATTTCAGATTCTGTGAAAAAGGATACGAACAGATAGTATATTCTATCCTTGTTAATTTTTAACAGCTCAACTTTTCATTTGCATAGTCTTAATCGAATATTTTACGTACCAGTATTGCAGTACTCATCGTACACATATCCAGGTCTACATGCAGTTGAGTTATCACATAGTCCATTCACATGATCACACATCTGTGATAAACAGCCTTCACAAAACTCAGAACAGTTTTTCCCAAATTGACCGAATGGACATTCTGAAAAAGATTTAAACCCATTGATGAATTAAGTAAAGTGAATAAATTGTGAAATGAAAGCTACACTTAAATATAGGGTCAGGTCATGAAACGATTTTACTTTTACTGTGTAAAAAAATTGATTGTAAGAAAATGTATATTATTTGTATTAAATACTAGTTATAAGAAAAAAGTAAAATAACAAAAATACCGAACTCCGAGGAAAATTCAAAACGGAAAGTCCGTAATCAAATGGCAAAATCAAAAGCTCAAACACATCAAACGAATGGATAACAACTGTCATATTCCTGACTTGGTACAGGCATTTTCTTATGTAGAAAATGGTGGATTAAACCTGGTTTTATAGCTAGCTTAACCTCTCACTTGTATGACAGTCGCATAACATTCCATCAGATTGACAACGATGTGTGAACAAAACAAACAGATATAATAGGTAAAAATGTCAAAAGTAGGGGTACAGCAGTCAATTTTGTGTAATAATCTTAATCACTATAAAAACAAACAAATATGTAACAAAGAAACATAAAAAGGTATATAGACAAAGCACATTAGCAAATATGAAAGACAAGAATACAAAAATTTACCATAGCACAATAACACAATGACAAAAGAAGACAGACATGAACGTTTATTTATCTAACACCATCATTAACTGCAGTCTCTTTTTTGTACAAATCCCCTCCATAATAAATTAAAAAAAAACATCATTACATATCTCCATTTAATGATTTCCATAAATTTCACTATCTGTTCTTGGGTTAATGTAACATTAATCGTTGAACTCATCAAAACGCTAAGTCAATGTTAAAAACGAAAAGAAAAAAAAGAAAAGAAACAAACTTCGTGTGCATTCAAATTCCTGCCAACCATCATTGCATCCTCCTATGCATTCTCCAGTCAGTTTATTACATTGAGGATTTACACAGTTTGCTGAACATGTTTCAAGACAATTTTTACCGTATTTACTATCCTGACATTCTATAAAATAAAAAAATGAGTCAATAGTTATACGAGATACCAATGTCACGACAGTACATGTGATTTTCTACACACATTAACTTCAATAGATTATAAATCTTTATTAAATATGTAAAGTATCGATTGTTGTGCAAATGACCTATTTTTCAAATATACGTTTTTCAAGCAGACTTTAAAGAGAGGATTAAAGAGATGACTTCGACGACGACGACGACGACGACGCGACGACAATGAGGACGTTGACGTTGGTGATGATGATAATGATGAATTGGTGTTTTCTGATTCTGTAACAAAACATATTATGCACATTAGGAAAAGACCATGACTCCAATGCTACTAACATTTGCTCTTACTCATAATTGCTGCGTGTTAAGAACTGAAGCAGCAAATAACAATTTTTAAGTTTCTGTTCGACCAGGCTGGGGTTGAACCCATTACCTTTGCATTTTCAGGCACGCTTTCATGAGACCAAGAAAGAGGTTGGATAAAATAAGCAACAACCGTCTATTTATCCAGCAACAAAACGAAAAAAGAAGCATAAATGATAAGTTCAGAGTCCTTTGCACATGTATAATAAATATATATACCTTGTTCACACTTATCACCAGTCCATCCGTTCAAACAACCAAATGTACAGCTACCAGTTGCAAGGTCACAAGGTCCGTTACAATTCCCTGGACACAACTTATTACAGACAGGACCATAACGTGAAGGAGGACAACCTTAAATAGAAAGAATTATGGTAACAATATTATCACTTCGTTCCTGCAACAAATGCATTCATTAAGACATACAAGTTCCAAAAGTGTTCCGGGTTATGACAGGCGCCAACATAAAAAAAACGGAAGGAAACATTTCAACTTGGCGGACATGGTGACCTCATACAATAAATTCGATATAAACAGTGCCAAACTTTCCCTCAAACGCTGCATTTGTTTGCACCTGTTATAAGTTAGGAACCTGATGTTCAGTGGTTGTCGTTTGTTGATGTGGTTCATAAGTGTTTCTCGTTTCTCGTTTTTTATATAGATTAGACCGTTGGTTTTCCTGTTTGCATGGTTTTACACTAGTAATTTTTGTTGCCTTTTATAGCTAGTTCGGTGTGAGCCAAGGCTCCGTGTTGAAGGCCGTACTTTGACCTATAATGATTTAATTTTACAAATTGTGACTTGGATGAAGAGTTGTCTCATTGGCACTCATACCATATTTTCTTATATCTATTGATGAGTATTTGAAGACGACACGTGCGTCTGGCGTACCCAATTTTAATACTGATATCTATAATGTGTTTATGGATCATTGACTTTACAAACATGCTGTTAGTGTCAAAATCATCCAAACAGAAAACTATTATGTGCATTGCTCCTCCAAAAGTCTTCTGGGTAAATTGTGCTTCACAACGTCATAAACCCATCACTTACCTCTAGTAATAAGTGGTAAATTTCGGAAAATTATCAATAAAAAAAATTAGAAAAAATTCTAATTTCATAAAACAAAGGTGAAGAAGATAAGTCGAATCAAAATAGCAATTTTGTATTGGCGAAAAACATTCAATACCAAAAAAATGGAGAAAAAGGAAAATGACAAATTGGCTAGATAACGCTTTTAAAGAAACTGAAGATATGGCGATCAAATCCTTTCTTACATTCTTTAAGAATGTCAATTCACTGTCGAAAATCACATCTTTAAATAGCACCATATAGTTTATCCATTACAATCAATTGTATTCATGATGGCATATTACATTTTGTTTTAATTTCAGTATTGTTTTAAAAAGGTATCATTTATATCTGTTTGCCATGAGATTCGTCAGTGGTACTTGGTTCATAATTCATAATTTGCAACCAGACTAATAACTTAGTAGGCTATACTCATGTTGGTCTAAGGGGCCTTTATGACCGAGTGGTCTTAGTAGTACTGTATCAAACGTCTCTCAACAATGGGGTTTGAGAGTTCTATTCCCGCATGTGACAGTTGTACTCGACCCCAATCCTAGTTGACTAGGATTATCAATTTTCCTTTCGAAAGTCGATGCTTCTCTTCGGACACTTCCGGCTTTCTCCGCAAATAAAAACAACTGACCGCAAAGAAATAGGACAATAGTGCTGAAATTAATTAAACATTAATCAATCAATCAATCCAGCATGATTGATTACATTTTAAATTATTAAAAGCAAATTTTGCAACTTCTTTCGACAAACGTGACCTTATACTTTATACGTGTATATTTTTTAACATTGTCATAAAGCGAGAGGTTTGGCTAGCCATTAAACCAGGTTCAACCCACAATTTTTTCTTAAAATGTCCTGTACCAAGTCAGGAATATGGCAGTTGTTATCAAATAGTTCGTTTCTATGTATGTTGGCGTTTTTTTTTTTGTTGCACTTCAGTGTTCCTGTTGTTCCTTTGTTTTCCTCTTATAGTTGATGTGTTTCCCTCGGTTTTAGTTTGTAACTCGGATTTGTCTTCCCTCAATCGATTTATGACTTTTGAACACCGGTATATTTCTGCTGCCTTTATTTATATGGTTTTAACTATATTTGTTTGTATTTCTTTTGTCAATACAGTTTAAGAGTGTAAATACAGCCCTTGTTATCATTATATTTGATATTATTCGTTCCTGGCGATCAAACGATGCATCGGGCGCACAAAATATTTAAAGTTTCAGTTTCATTATAGTTTTTGTAACGTTAAACCTATAGCTATAGTCTGTTAATATAATTTATTTTTATCTTTTTGTAAATTTAGCAACCTTTCTATAAATTTACTAACGCAAATAGCTAAATGTTTTACTGGTTGGTAGAAACACAGATTATTACAAGTAGGCAAATATGCGCTTTGTATAGAACAGATATTTGGTGCCAAGGCGACAAAAGTGTAAATGTATTTTGATAGGTTTAAATAATTTAGTTCAGTCAAAACGCAATACCCTACCAGAGTTTCATAAGAAATTGTAGAGTTTCCAAATGCTTTAACTCTTTTTCCATAAAAACACACCACCTTTTTACATAGTTAGATAATTCCTATCCTTTTATATCGTTTGGATTAAATAAAAAAACTCACCAATAATTCCAATTTCACAAATTTCAAGTTCTGAAGATTTACCCTGAACTGGAGGTACATAAGTCAAGTATCTGAAAACGGCACTAACGTTGATTTTAGTAGGCAAAAATTGTTCTTCATATAAAATAGTCCCAGTTTTCCAAGAATGGCTTGTATTTGAAGCATAAAGAGTATGGCTACCGACCTTTGTAGTATTTTCTGAAAATAATAACATTAAACGTATTGGACTAGCAAAACCAATATACTGCCGCTTTATTTATTTTCGTGCAAGCAATTTTTCATTGATTGAGGAAATATGTGTATCCGTAAATATTTGATTTCGTGCTTTCATCAATTGAAAGTCAGCATACAAGTTTATTAAAAAATGTATTTCGTTGAAGATTTAGATTCGTGGTTTGTATATACATATAATATGAAATCCATGTTATTCACGAATACCTAGAGTGTATATGTTTATTTGTATGAATTCAAATGAAGTTTCCGTACTAATGCTCCAGATCATATAAGTATGTACCACACAATGTTTAATCTGAGATTCAAGTGAACACAGTTTAACATTGTCTATAAAAAAACATAGTTAACATAGTCTACTTAAATAAATTGTTTGATGTTTTATTAACACATATTGGTAATATGGATAAAACAAAATCATGAAATAACATTTAATTTCAACGAAAGACTTTCAACATCAAAGATATGATCTAGAATTTTTAATTGAAAATGTTTATAGTCAGTTCAAATATAACAGTCAAATATATACTGTTAACTAACATACCGCCAAACAATACGTGCACTCCTGTTACAATGCTTTCTTTTTTTAGGTCAACTTGAAATGTAACGGAAGGACCTTTTGTTTTGGAACATGATATTTTACTTCCATCATTTGCTAGACTACCTGGGTAACTACCATTTGGATTTATAAAGACTGAACTGTCATATGCCAAGTTATCTGTGATGAAAAGACATATTTATAATGATGTTTATATTAATTGTATGTGATAGTTGCCTTACATGTGAAGGTAACTGTTTTTACTGTCGACAGATACTCCCCGAATCCGCACCTTTATAACGAGAAAGAAAATTAGGTTTCTTGAAAAGATAAAGCGATTATTTACTTTGATCTGGGTTTTTTTTATAAATTTGTTGATGCTTTTTGATCAATTAATACGGGTTACAAGCTGTGATATTGTGTTACAAATGAATCGAGTACCTCTTTGAAACAAAGCAAATTATGGTGACTATTTCATTAAAAAACAAGAAAATATTCAAATAGACTCATTAATGATACCAGGTTTAAACTTTATACGCCAGACGAGCGTTTCGTCTACAAAAGACTCATCAGTGACGCTCAAATCAAGAAAATTTAAAAGACTAAATAAAGTACGAAACAAATCGAAGTTAAAGAGCATTATAGACCCTAAATTCCGAAAGATTTTGCCAAATACAGCTGAAGTAATCTATTCCTGAGGTAGAAAATCCTAAGATTAACTCATAGTTTTATAAACAGTTGATTTTTAATTATGACCGTATCAATGATAATTCATGTCATTATTCAAAGTCAGTTATATAAAAATTTAAAAATCAGAAAGACAATAGTTTGGCCATTGATTGTAAAAAAATAGAAACATAATTCATCCTGGTTCTGCCCCACCCTCTGAGTTCGCGTCAACTGTCAAAAATGTATGATATATATCAAAACAGTTTCATCATTCTGGAAAAGAAAGATATGGTAGCACTTGCTCTGGATAAAGAGCCAGATTTATATAATTTCTTCGATTAGAGAGTTGATTTATTACCCTGGCGACGCTTACCCTCTCGACGCACCCTTGAAGTATATAACGTAAAAATAGACACGGGTATAGCGAACAAGTTGGGATACATATTCACCTAAGATAAGGCCAAAGGAACACCAACGTTTAAAAAAGTACAATTAACAATAGGGAACAACAAATCGTCCCTTTTTTGGGTAAGTTTTTGTATGGAGTTTCTCGTGTGAAACTGAAGTATCCAAATCTAGGATAGGACAATCTAGGTTGTATATATCATACTTGATCAAAGTGAGTGCCTTTGGAAAAATCTCGGCTGAATGTTAAAAGAGTTCTTGATTATTTAACACAAAATACCAACAAGGTAGCAGTAAGTGTTTTTTGTATTTATCATATAATGGAATTTAGATGGATCTTAATTGAGTTCGGCAATACACTGTGTTTTATAACAAAACAGGAACAATTCTGCTTATAATAGGGCGCAATTTGTACGCACAGGAATACCTATATCCTATCGATAAATTTTATTGCCGAAACATACATCGATTTTGTCAAGGACAACATTTATAGCTAAAATCTTCTCAGCATACTTCCAGTAAGTATATTAAGCATATTTATTATTTTCATTTTAGAGGTTAGCTTCATATGAGTTGCAGGAAATAAATTTGCAATCAACTTTCACTTTTTCGCGGTCAAATTAAGATATTACGACAAGTCGTAAATAGTCGGATCCGTAAATTTATTGAATGTATCATATATTCTTTCAGGTTATTTTGGTCGGTCTAACTTTTAATCGCGTTTGTTGGATTCAAAGCATGATAAAGTGATATCATATTCATTTGTCTTGTTCCGTTGCAAGACAACGTGGTTCTGTTTCATCCTTTATGAAGATTAACACACACAAAAAACGAAAGAAACCGGAAATAAAGTTTTTTCGCCTGCATTCTGTACAAGGCTATTTCAAATCATAGAATGTAAACTTTAATTGACCTCTCTACAATTTATTCTTTCTTTTGAAGTAAAAACGTAAAAACTTAGTCACCCCTCCCCTCTACTCCCCCCCTTCCATATCCCCCCCCCCCCCCCCCCCCCCCCCGCCACCTTCCCAAAACAAACAGAATAGCCATACCATATAGGGTTCACTTTCTCTCGGGAGTTATCGCAGTCAGGTACGTTCTGTTTTGTCACAATATGTATATTCACAATTACTTACACTTGTTACAAAAGTCTCCGGTTCGTCTTTCCTTGCAACCATCGGTACAAATACCGGTAAATTTATTGCAAATATCATTTAAACAGTACTCAGTTTTACAACCCCAAATGCAAGACCCATTTCCAGGGTAGCAATGTCGTTCTATGCAATATTCGGAACACACTTTCTCGCAGTTACTTCCCCAAAAACTCTTTCGGCAACCTGAAAAACAGGAAAGTCCCCATGATTTACATGTATGGGTGACAAAAGTGCAAATATATATCAACATTTATTTGATTTACATAGTTAAACGCTAGTATTGAAAACATTGAACATGGACAATCAACTTGTAAGTTATAATCAGCGATCACATCTTAGAAATATAAACTGCGTGACCATACAAAACTTTTCTATCATGATTTTCTTAATAGAGGGTTGCTGCTTACAAGGAAGCTATTGATCAAAGTGGTCCATGTGGTGAAGTTTAAGTCATCCACTCGAAACTTTTACTGACGCCATCACGAGTTGGTTGTCCGTTATGGAATATCTCTCTCTAAGATAGTGACGGAAATGTTTTAATTGTCGAAAACATAATTCTGTCCTCTTTTCTTCCAGTGTGACATCACCATCACCGAATGGGACTTAAGTTGTTCTACTTGAGCAATACGGCAGGTGCCATATGTGGATCAGGATATGCTAAACCTTTTGTAGCATCCGGTTTGTTTTAGGAGTTTGTATTGCTCGGTCTGCAGATTATTTGTGTCGTTTTTATGCCCCACCTAGGGGCATTATGTTTTTAGGTCTGTGCGCCTTTTTGTCCGTTTGTCCGTTCGTCCGTTAGTCCGTTCGTCCGTTTGTCCGTCCGTTCGTCCGTCCGTCCGTTTGTCCCGCTTCAGGTTAAAGTATGTGGTCAAGGTAGTTTTTGATGAAGTTGAATTCCAATCAATTTGAAACTAAGTACACATGTTCCCTAGGATATGATCTTTCTAATTTTAATGCCAAATTAGAGTTTTTACCCCAATTTCACGGTCCACTGAACATAAAAAATGATAGTGCGAGTGGAGCATCCGTGTACTATGGACACATTTTTGTGTATAGTATTTCTTTTTGTAGTTTCTTGTTTTTTGCCGTAGCGTTGTCAGTTAGTGTTCGACTTATGAGTTAGATTATCCCTTTGGTATCTACCGTTTTTCTTGTTTAACCATTAAGAATATTTATTTCACTTCTTTTTACAGCATTATTAAATTACAATTAGCATAAGATTTTTTTTATTCATATCACAAAATATTGATAGTACTTTTATTCATATCACAAAATATTGATAGTACTTTTATTCATATCACAAAATATTGATAGTACTTAGCAATTAAAAAAAGTTATTATGAAATGTTAGTAAAACAGAATGCAAGCAACGGAAAATACGTACGTATGATACGGCTAGCTTTTGTCCCTTGGAATTCGATAAAAAAAAAAAGAAAGTATCTACCTATTAGCATCTTTCAGATGTTCATCAGTCATTCCTGTGTTACATCAGTATTAATGTTGTTTTTTTTTAATTTGTCTTTCATACATTTTGTATTTGCATTATGGTTTCCAACTTCTTGGATTAAGTGCAAAACTGCCAAAATAGTCTCATTTTGATATATTGTCATTAATATTTAGATATGGGCAACAGGTTTAGCTAAACAGATATGTGTGCTGCAAGATTTATTCAACAAGGTGTTAATGTCAGTAAAATGTCTTTCAGGTTAAGGCTGTTCCTCACATCTGTTTTATGCAAAACGTATTTGTAAAATGGTCTTTTTTGGCCATATATGTTAATTGAACATGTTTATGACGTTAAAAATGACGTTTCTGCACTAAGGTATCTAGATTATTTTAACTTGTTCATTTATCAATAAAATAAACATCAATTTGAAAAGCTGATTAATTTTACTCTTTTTGCATTGCTAGAGGACAAATAGGTATAATTGTGAGGTTGTCTGGATATTGATATTGTAAGAAATAAGCTGCGAGTCACAATAGGCTTCATATTGTGTCGAGCATTTATATGATTGTATTTGTGTATTTGCACGATAGAATCAAGTGTTTTTTCTTTGTTTCACCAGCAAACCGGAAGATGACGTGATAAGTTCGGGTCAAACTTATCAACTTCCGTTTATTTGTTGTGACGTTAGTGATATCTCCGGGTCAAAGTTATTAACGCCAGGTCAATGTTTTTGACGTCACAAAGCCATGATATGCAATTTTATGAAGAGCTGAACAGAGTGGTACAGACAGTGGGAACGCCGATAATGGTTTTTATCATACATCCTATAAGTGCCAATGAGACAACTCTCCATCCAAGTCACAATGTATAAAAAGTTAACAATTAAAGGTCAAAGTACGGCTTTTAACACGGAACCTTTGCTCACACCGAACATCAAGCTATAAAGGGCCCCAAAATGACTAGTGTAAAACAATATAAACAGGAAAACTAACGGTCTAATCTATATAAAAAATGAGAAACGAGAAACACCAATGAACCACATCAACAAACGACAACCACTGAAAAACAGGCTCCTGACTTGATAAAATCAAACAAGAACTACTGATCATATCCTAGGTATTCGAAATTTATACTATAAGTCCCAATACAACAAAGAGACTGGAAAAGTATAGCTAAGCGCACACGAGATCTTTCCATGTAGAAAATAAAAAATATATACACAATGATAATTTACTCACCATTAATGGCAACGTAACAAAGTTCAATTATAGGTCCATAATTACTATCTCCTTTAGTATCGTAATATATGACATATTGTCCAAGTTGATTACAAGGAATAGTCTGAGTGATGTTTGGCAAACCTGGATCAGGATCCTCATAGCAAAGATAACCATTAGGTAGAATTGTTGAAGTATTAGTCACATATAACTTAAATCCATCCATGCGAAAGGAAACTGTAATAAAATTACACCAAAAATAGTTTTTGAAAGCAGACAAACTTCTTTTTAATTTTAAAAAAATGAAAATATTAAAAGAGGATCGAAAACTTTGCTCCTGAAATTTGAAAAAAAGGAAACTATTCAAGTTTTCAGAATTATTTTAATTCAATTTTATTCATTAGAATAATATGATCTGGACACTTTAATGTGGAAGGGTCATGTAGTTGTTATGTCAACATGTTTTCATAAACATGATGCAGTTAAAATGATTGAGATTTTTGACCAAAAACATTAATCTTAATCTTGATAGTGTTTGGACAAAAAAGAAAAGCAGAAAGGACATTTCTTAAAAAGATATTTTACACACATTGACATGTTTATCGAATATCATGAATATACTGTGTATTGAATATCTTTTTGGCTACAGCCTTTTCTTATATTCAATATGTTTACAATAAAACAATATTCTATCATACAGTGAGAGGTTTAACTAGCTATAAAACCAGGTTTAATCCACCATTTCCTACATAAGGAAATGCTGTACCAAGTCAGGAATATGACAGTTGTTTTCCATTCGATTGATGTTTTTGAGCTTTTGATTTTTGCCATTTGGTAAGGGACTTTCCGTTTCGAATTTTCCTTGGAGTTCGGTATTTTTGTTATTTTACTTTTTTCTAAATTTATCCACGAAAAATTGAAGAAGAAATGAAATGATGCTTCTTATAAAAAGGCATGAATCAAGGAAAACATTGTTACGATACTATTCAATATATAAATGGTTTCCTTATACCCATCCTTACCCTCTGTCTGATTTATGATTTTGATTGAAACAACGGATGTACTAAGAGTCTTAACAAAGACATTAACTAAAACTCTGTGTTGTACGTAAAAATAAATGATAGATTTGAGTATAACATGTATAAGTCTTTATACAATGAGATCTGTATAGCAAAATTACCGTCATTTGGAATGGATTGTGTATTGGTCAAATACAATCCCTATCCATCTATACGTATCGCTACCTCTAGTAAATGATTTTTGGCCTTGAATTGCCATTTTCATATTTAAATCATCCCAAAAGTCAGAATTTAAGTCTAGTTTAGAGTTTAAGTTATATTTCTGTCGTAAATTCAGTACTGTCTCGACAATTTTGTTGCATTTGATCCAGGACTGTTCAGTTGTTTTTTATACAATGTACATACATGTCAAAGAGAGGCGAACGATACCAAAGGGACAATCAAACTAATAAGTCGAAGATAAACTTACACCGCAATGGGAAAAAAAACAAAAATAACAGCGTACTGAACACATCATAGAAAACTAATACTGAGTAACACGAAACCCACTAAAAAGCGGGATGATCTCAGGTGCTCCGCAGATTGTGCACCCGTCATGTTTTATGAAAGTACACATTATTTTGGAATTTTTAGTTTCCAATACTCGTTTATTTCCTTATTGACCTTGCCTTCTTACTGTTTTGATTTGTTCGTCACTGATAGGTCGTTAAGAGATGCTAGCACGGCTGGTGTACTTAATCATAACCCTTGTATCTTTTTATGATTTATGATCAGCCTATGCCACTTGAAAAAAACTTGTTTCCGATTTTGAATACATTCATGTCCTGCATTAAGTGTGGAAGCATAGTTATTTCCGTCCTGTCATATGACAAGATTTTTCAGCTCTGAACAGGCCATGATATGCATTTTCAACACTCTGTTTTCTTCGTTTATATAGAAATTCAGATGGTTGTTCACTAACCAACAAGAACTATTCTGTGTTCAATTGCTAGTTTTCATATTCATTTGGAGAATTGTTTCAATATATGTTCTATTTATCGCTATTTTTATTTAAATATGTATAGCGGTCTTAAAAAAAATTGTTATAAATAGATGATTTTAATATATTTTAAGTTTAATGTTTAAGAAGTACAACAAAAATACCGGCCGATGATTGATGATTTTCCTTACAAAAGAAACTTAACATAAAGACAAGAATATTGAGGTGAAAATAGTATATTATATTACAATGCATTTCCTGTCTATACTTACAGCTTTCTCTGTAGTTAATTGTTATATCTGTGATGTATGCAATTCCGAATGAGAATTGAAACATCCACCAAGCTGGTGTTCTGGTGAAAATGCCTGTGTGGGAACAAATATCAAAGGAAAACACGTTTGATACAGGAGGGTTTATAGCATTTTGAGGAATTCCACTATTATACGTAGAACTTTGAGTAGATGTGCCGAACGGTGTCAGGTTATCTGTAAAGTACGCAGTGAATAAAAATAAAAGTATATCATATTTCTGCAAGTTATATATTATTGTTGAAAATATAGGAAAGCAGAAATGTACCACTGGAAAAGTCCGAATGTGTTTTATTAATTTAAACTGCATTATGCCATTTTGTTCTGTAATATGTGTAAAACACATGGGTACACATGAGTAACGAAAATTAACAAAATTTATAATTACATTAACAAATCAGATAGTGTATATTGTGTTAATTCTTCTGTAACATGCTAAGTTTTGTACGTCTTTTTTTAGTAAATAAATATAATAAAATTGAGAATGGAAATGGGGAATGTGTCAAAGAGACAACAACCCGACCACAGAACAGACAACAGCAGAAGGCCACCAACAGGTCTTCAATGCAGCGAGAAATTCCCGCACCCGGGATTTATAAATTAGGCGTGCACGATGCGCGTTTTTGTACTTAACTTTATCGGTAACCTCAATCTCAAATAATTAAAGTATAGGATGTATTGATACTTGAATAGTTGAGGAGTTTCATTACCAAAAAGGGCGTGAACAAATTATCTTATCCACTTGAGGTCAATTTATTTTCTTTAGGAGTTGTAATCTTTTTTTTTTTTATTTTTTTTTTCTATTTATCATCGGGCAATTTAAGAATGGTATGTTATAATTCATTTTTGTGAGGCAGTACTTACTACTTGGCTAATGGTACATGTATCCTAGTTATGTTGATTAATTTTTTTTTTTGGATTTATACCATAAAAAGGACTAAGCTGAAAACAACATATCATAAAGTGTTAGTATTATGATTTGACCTACCGATTTATTACCGGGTTTGTACTAACATGAGCAACACGACGGGTGCCACATGTGGATCAGGATCTGCTTACCCTTCCGGAGCACCTGCGATCACCCCAGTTTTGGTGGGGTTCGTGTTGCTCAGTCTTTAGTTTTCTATGTTGTGTTTTGTGTACTATTTGTCTGTTGGTCTTTTTCTTTTTAGCCATGGCGTTGTCAGTTAATTTTTGACTTATGAGTTTGAATGACCCTTTTGGTATCTTTCGCCTCTCTTTTATTGTACAACATGTCATCCTAAAAACGAATTTATTTTTTGACTCGATTAGGAAAATCTCACCAAAGATATTTATATTCACATAACAGTATGATAAAGGATCAGGAGAGAACAATAGCCAAATAAATAGTTTTGTGATCCGAGTGAAATTACTCAAGTGTTGCAACTTTGATTATGAATTACACTGAAGCCGCAATTGATAGTTTTTTTAATTTTCTATTTCAGCTCTATCGTTTGAAATATGTGGTTAACTGTTTATCGTATCGTCTATTCGATATCTTTTTTTAGAAAAACGCTTTAAAAGCTAGTCACAATAATCTTTTAGGGATGTTTTATTTGCTTTATAATGATTTTAAAAATTTGGAGCATGTAACGAAAAGTTCTATCTAAACATACTTTTTCCCGACATTAGCAATTCTCAAGACGTAAGATTTACATGTAAGAATACAAAATACTCATTATACAGCCTGTTCATGTGATTGAAATAAATAAATCGTAAGGATCTAAATTTTGTTTAAGAAAATATCGTGATGGTGTCTTGTGATAACGTATGTTTTTTTTTTCATATATGCAAAAGATTTTGTTATTGAATCAAAAGTTGTCAAAGTGTACTATTCAGTGAAAATTAATTTATTAAATAAGAGGAAAATGTTTCAAACTTCTTTAATGAGATAATATAAAAAAGGAGATATGGTATGATTGCAAATGAGCCACCAAAAATCAAATGAACTGGATGTTAACAATTATAAACAACCGTAGGGCCTTCAACAATGAGAAAAACAGACATGAACCAACGACAATATATGAATAGGTTTCATGGTAAGTGTAAAAACTGTATTGAAAAAATTTTGATTTCTTTCCTCAAAGTTTAAAAACCTGCACGTTACAGGATGCATGCAACTCAATTCTTAATTGACTAGGATTGTCAGTTTTCCTGGCGAAGGTCGGAGATTCTCTCCTGGTCCATCGACTTCACCCACCAATAAAAACTAGCCTCCACAAAATAGTCAAAAGTGTGGCGTTACAACACACTAATCGATGAATCAAAGTGTATTTAAATGTCTTTTATTGGGGGTTAGTGATTATTTGTGACACAATTTGTAAACATATTGATGAATAAAGAATATTTGTTTGCAAATATAAAAATTGACAAGGTAGAAAATATGACAAAAATTGGCTCGCTTGGTTGCAGAGACAAAAAGATCTTTCGAAAGGTTTACGACGAAGATTACAGACGCCATGCGGTGGTAATGGCTAACATCAACCTTTGGTTCAAGGTGAGATCAGGCTGAATTTTGAATGAACAAACATTGAATGTTTCAAATCATTATCAAAGTGTACATACGTTGGGCTGTAACTCTCAATAGAACAGCTGTGTGACTGATTAAAAGTAATAACATATCAGCTGTAGTTAAAATGTGCATCCAGCAGGTACCATAAGAGCCAATATCTCGCTAAAATAATTGAAAAAAAAGAAAATGCTATGAACTAATTATTATTCTATAGGATATACTTGCACCTTGACATCATGAATTTTGTACGACCTGAAATTGTCTGATTGGCAATCATACCACATATTCTTATTTTTATAGCTATCTGTTAATGTTGTATTGTCTATTTTATCGATAGTTTTAGAGTAAGGTATCTTATTTGAATTGATACTTATTACAACTTATTAGGTGTACCCTTGTTATTCCACTGACTGAGATTGAAAAAGGTAAATTTGTATAGATGAAAAAATATTATTTACACAAAAGATGCTTTTGAATGTCTGAAGTCGTTTCATATTCATATCAGATGCATGCCATAGCGTTATTTTTAATGGAATGTTTTTGAGAACATGTTTACACAATCATGTTGATAATATTAAATCTAATTCAGAATATATATCATTTGTATACCGGATTTACTCTTTGCTATTCAAGAAAGATGTATTATTTATATATACATTCGTGCATGTACATATAGTATTTATCATGGACATCTCACACGTAAAATGTAATAAGATGTTTAACAACATAATTCTTATTCTTTTTTCATAAAGGTCTTCATTTCTTATTTGTTTTAATTTTTTTTTATCAGCTCTATATATACTGTCTAATATTTCCAACTATAATGTATTGTAATCATGATATTTAATATGCTAAATATATTGAATTGCATGTGTTGCATGAACATGCTTTAGTTGTTTCAAACAAATACAAATGAAAAGTCGTACACTTTTATAATTGTGAGATCTTATTTGAAACGTTAAATGAACGAGACTAAATGCGATAAAGAATTTGTACATATTGTTGACGAAATTCGAAGTATAGTTAATGTTTTCTTTGCACATTTTATTTGTGCTTATTTTAACGTGTTTCATGCAAAGCTGTAACAAATATTACACATGAAGCCTGAAACAAATTTCTCGAAATTTTGATTGGATATTTTTATATATGACCTTATAGAATTTCGAGTATTCGGTAAACAGGAAGTTGATGAGTGCTGCATTTTCAAATGAATAACACCGTGTACCAAGATCGCGTAACGTTTGATACCAAATTACAGGAAGCTCTGACATGTAGTTCCTGAGATGGAAATCGACGGAAATATATGTGTCTATTACCTTTATTTTGTTGGCCAATTTAGAAGATTCTATTTTTTGTAAACCACACCCACACCCTCACCTATTTGGTAAGTATTTACACTTGCTAACTTGAAAAACAATCATTCTACAACAAGATTTATTACCGTAATTATTAATCTTTATACCAGAAACGGCCTCTTATGTATAGTTACATGATAAGCAGTGCGATTCTGTTTCTCAAAAGAATGTGTCACTGTATCCAATTTCTATAACAGTGGCTGATATTAAATATTCCTTGTCGAATTCATATAATTGTACTATTTGTTTTATAAAAGTAAAAACTAATTGCATTTTGAACAACACCTGATCAAAACAATAAAAAAAATGTTCATCTTGCAAAGGTGTTTCGGAGTGAACAGCAGATACAATTCGTTATTGTTAATGCCTCCATGTGTATCTCTGAAATACTATTGTGCATGTGTGTTATCAGGAACCAAAGATTCGGAAGATACTAAGGAAGTATTAAAAGTAATAAGTTGAAGAGATATACCAATGAGACGATTATGCGTGGGAATTAGGGTATGTGGCCACTCCAATCTCCCACATGCCCAGCGGCACAGACGTTGGCTAGATATTGTAATTAACAAAATTTTATGTTTTGAATCGATCTAAAGAATCGAATCTCTATCTGCACAATAAAAATAATGTGGTAAAAAACATAAAGGTGAAAAATTAATAAAGCGGCCTAAAAATTTTATATGCGAATTGTAAAACAATAGCTGATCCGTAGTATCTATTTAGGTTAACCGCTTAACAAACATAGAGGTAAACACTTTTATACGTGTTATATAGGTGAAACAACAGCATTTTGTTAAATCATAGTGGCTTCAAGCAAGCAAATCTAATGTATAATTTGCACGAGAATTTTAAATGTGAGATCAAGTACTCCAAATTTTATATGAAGAATTAGGTAGGTTTCCACTAGAAATGAAAATAAAATTTAGAATGTTATCGTTTTGGAGTAGAATGGCTAAAAATGAAAACAAACTTAGTAGTTCTGTGTATAATCTTATTTTTAAATTACATAGTGATGATATTTTTGAATTTAAATGGGTGTCATTTGTGAAATCTATATTTGACAACTCAGGAATAGGTTATATGTTTTTCAACCAATACATTGATTATTTAACTATTAAACCTGTTATAAAACAGATTCTTCAAGATCAGTTTCTTCAAGATCAGTTTCTTCAAAAGTGGTTTAGTAAAATTGATAACTCGTCTTGTGGCGAATATTTTAAGTTAGTTAAAGCTCAGTTTGGTCTTTAAAATTATTTACTACGTCTTCCAGGGGATAAAAGAATCTGGATTTCGAATTGAGAACATGCAATCTTAAAATTCCTGTAGAAACTGGCAGATGGTACAATGTCGCTAGAACCGATCGTCTATGTACCTAATGTAATGAATGTGTTGGTAATGAATATCATTATTTATATGTATATGTAATAATACTTCTATCACTGAACTTCAGAAGAAATATATACCGAAATATTATACAACATACCCATCTATACTGAAAATGCAAACGATGCTGTCATTATGTCACTGTCATTTATTGCATAATTTATCTATATTTATCAAGAAACTATCTATTCTCATTTAGTAAGATACATGTACCTTATGCGTTTTATGATCTTTAGATAGTATACTTTTGTTATTAATTTCCTGTCTATTCTGTCATTTATTGTATTTGATTTTTAATTTTTCCTCATGTTACACATATTTTGTGTCTAAGTGTAAATAAAGAATTGAATAGAAATATAATTATTAATACACAAAAACATTTATCGAAAGCGGATACATTTGACATATTTTTTCGTAATAAAATAAATAAATATTCCCTTTGAATTGATGACCCATATAGATACTAAACTAAAAATAACTTCACATAATAAATAAAGATAAAATATGTTAAGTGCTATGTCTAATGCACATTTCCTCCATATGATATTCTTACATTTTTATTTTTCACAGTCTGTATTGTTTTGTCGAACCTTGAACAAGTTAGGCTTTCATCTATAAACACTGCATATTTTGAAAGGTGCATGTTTTTGCCAAGCATTTTTAAGAGTATACAGATGTTAATATTCAACTAAACAACAAAAATGTTTTATGTTTTGTTTTACAATCATATATTCATTTGAGCATTTTTTCAATGCTGTCCTCTTTTCCACGATTGTGGCATCACCAAATGAGACTTATGGCAGAATTCGTACTTTTCATTTTCTGAAAATACCTTCACCCAGAACTCTTTAACCATCATTTACGATTTAATTCTAGGATATATAAGTTCTTGAATACGTGTGGAGATATATGACCAAAAAAGGACATAAAAAAGCCAAATTCTTCCAAGTTCGCATTGCCTGAGAGAACTGGTACCATAGTTTCGCAGTAAATTCTTTAAAAAGTTATATTACCCTTTAAAAATTATATGCGTCCGAAGAGTTTTTCTTGATTTACCTTTATCAGGAACGCTGAGAGCATAGGATGTATACGATCCTAACCAAGTGAAGAGCTATATAACCAAATCGGACCTTAACATAATCGCCAGATCCATCTACGATCAGCTTTGCCTCAGGGAGTTAAAACCCTAGTTCCTATTAAGTTTAGAAAACGGACAATTTGAGATAAAATGTTACAAATTATGTAACTACCGTAGCACTGACTACATGTATTTGGCTGATGATGACATCGGGGATTTAAAATACACTCGCAGCGGTATTAAGAGCTATGAAAAATTAGAATTAAACATTAATGTACGAACATAGAATTTAAAAAAAAAAACATATTATAACAAATTTACTTCGTGATTTATCACAATATAAGTGAAAAAAGACGTACCTTGTATCAGGATAACTATTATCTTTAATAAAAATTTAACAGGAAGTAAGATGTTCACACTGTCTTAAAATGTTACATCAATTTAAAAGTCCGGTTATTGATTAACCGTACCGTTTTGTGTGTACATGTATTAAACGTGTAGGTTTTGTTTTAGCGATAAAAAGAGTAACCTTGCAATTCAGTTATTAACATTTTTTTAAAACTCACAATCGTATTTCTTTTATTGAAGATTGAATGACCTAACAAACTCACACCATCCTTTCCCATTTTCTAACAATGTATAAATATTACTCATAGCAGCTCTCATTTTTTTCGTTCCGACCAGAATGTATGCAGTAACAAATGTTATATGTGCCCTAAATGCTTTACAATAGAGCTTTTTTTTTTGCATTACGAAAGAGTTTAGATAGATAATATTCAGCAATGAACTTTTAGAGTAAGAATATTCTAGATATCGCATATATTTACATTAAGATTTTCACTTCATAATTACATTTTTTATAGACTATTTAGGATGTAAGATTTAAGTTGATAGAGTGTAATAATATAACAGAGCAAAGTGGCGGAAACAGTTTGTAAGTACATGTGCATGAGATTTGATTTGGGGGTCTTGAAAGGATGGGAAACGATTTTTTAACACTTAAAAATTAAAATAAAAAGGACTAAGTGTGGAGATTAATTTGAATTAAGTATTGTGGTTTCCTAGAACTTTAACTTATAAAAATTCAATATGCATATAGATATTCACGGTACTACAATCTGTCGATACTTATATTTTGGCATTGCACAAGGTCATGTTTTACTCTGACTGTTAATGACGTCTTTACACTAAGTCCATTGGATGTTGGATGTGTACTGATTGATATTTCAGACTAAGATTCATGTTTTTTATTATTTTTTTTTTTGCTTTGAAATAGTTGTAAGTAACTTTGAGTACTTTTGAGATCTGAATTTTGGGTCTTTTTTGTTGTGCGGAATGTATAACTACCCTGCCACGTTCGGTCTGTGTTTTTGTTATATGTTTTTTTTCTGTCGATCTGATGAGTAAAGCTCTTTACAACTGATTTTCATCATTTGTTTTTATATTTACTGTAACACCACTATCCCAGGTTAGATGGAGGTTTGGCGGCTTCAAAAATATTCAACCCCGCCACATTCTGTATGTGCCTGTCACACGTCAGGATCCTGTAGTTAAGTGGTTGTCGTTGATTCATGTCTGTCATAATTATTTTTCGTAAACTGTTTCGTAATGAATTAATCGATCTGATCAGTTAACGCTACGCGTTACCAGGTAAACTTAATTTGCAACATTAAAACTATCGATGGGCGTACGCAAAGCTTCAAATACAATACAGTTATCTCTTAATTGTATATTTGTAAAACAAATTATACTTGAATTCATTTATAGTTACAAAGATTTGGTTTTGAAGTTTGGTTGAACCTGTAGAATTTTTATTAAAACGTGATAAAATATCCGAGTATTTACGGTTATGTTGTTTATAAAGTCCGTTTATTTTTGATACTATCCATTTAAAGTTATTAGTCATTTGGATAAACTCTATATTCTTAAAGGATATCAAACAACACAGTAATAAGATATTTTCTTTTCTGTGCTTAGCGATACTTACATTGATTTAGCTTTTGATGAATTAAATCATAACTAAATATGTTTTGCTATAAAATGATGACAACTGTTGGTCCTACATCCTGTCGATATTATCAAGAACATATACATGAAGAGAATCGAAACTGCTAGTCATAATCAACAATAATTTGATTTCTCAGTGTCGCGGAGCTTCTTATTTGTTTATATTTTTCAATCTACACTGTATAAAACTATTCCATAAACTATCCTCTAAAGATAACAAAAAATACGGATAACCTTTGATTAAAATTTGCTGTAATTGGTACAGTTTATTTTTTTACTAACACATGGTCGATACCTCTGCCGGTGTACTATAAGTCCCTGAAGATATCAACTGCCCTGTAACACGTTGAAAATACGCATATTGTTTGATTCAAAATTGCTGTAATAAAATTTTTGAAGTTATTTTTAAATTAAGGAATATATCTCCATCATGCACAGTTCTGATTCCTTGTCCGATTTGTGGCTATACTGTGGGATCTTTTTGGTTTGATCCGCTCTATTGAATATTTGTAAAAGATTTTGGATACGCAAATGTTTTTGCTTCGAATACCACTGAAGAGACATTATTTGTCGAAATGCGCATCTGGTGCATTAAAATTGGTACTGTTTATGTTTTTAATGTGGATAAGGCAGGTATTTTTTTAGGAAATTATGTAAAACAGAATCTATTTAAATTTTAAAATACGGATTGGTCAATTTTGCTTTCAATTCATTGATTTATTGATCTGTAATTAATCAACAATAGTGTCAGAGTTTGAAGAGGTTATAAACATATATGTTCCCTTTCTTTCTTTTCGGGGGAGAGGGCTTCGTGTCTCTCCTAATTTCCCAAAAATGTGCACCAGCATTATTTTAGAATTTTCCAACTTTGTAATGTTTTCAAGGTCAAAACTCATGTGGTTTTAACTTTAACAAAACGTTCACTTTCAGTTCTGTGTCATGTGGTAAGTTTTGTTCGGAAAGAATACAACTACACTTCCTTTTGATTTTGATAAATATGAATGTGTCCATTGTTCAAGGTACGTTTCTTTCACTAATATATTTAATACTGAATTGTAATTTTTATCAGATTAACGCATACATAATACGTGTTAAAAATAGTCTCTGTTTCAATTTATTTTGCTTTTTAACAATATACTTGTTGTAAGTAAATGTTTTATAAACAGTAGAAATTAAATATTGACAGCGTACTGTTTTATACGATCGTAAAATATAATATTAGATATTTATATATATTTAAGTAAATATTCTAAATTATGAAAACGGAATTACTCCGTTTTTCTAATGATTTTTCATTATCATGATTAAATAGAAATAATACTTTACACATTTTTATTAAGGTTCTTCCGTTTTTAATATTTAGGTAGGGATCACACATGCTGCTGTTATATTGACTTTCAGTGTATACCTTAAATATAAATGTTGATAAATATAAATTTCCATTATAACTATTAGCATTTATAAACTCATCATAAATACCTGGCTTAAAATTTTGTACGCCAGACAAGCGTTTCGTCTTCAAAAGACTCCAGAAGTTCCAAAAGGCCAACTAAAGTTCGAAGTTGAAGAGCATTGATAACCAAAAATATGTGAAGACAAAAATTTTTGTATTTCTTGAACTTAGATTAAATTAGTATCATGTCTCCCGAATTCTTTAATCTAAAATTGTATTCATACTTTTGTTTTGAAATTATTATATCTTCCGTGGGATTTCGTCTTTTGTTTAACTGACAGATCGAAGAGACTACATTACTTGCAAAAAAGGGAGGCGAAAGATACCAAAGGGGTATTCAAGCTCATAAATCGAAAATAAACTGTCAATGCCATGGTAAAAACGGAAAACGACGAAAATCCGGAGCAACACGAATCCAATCAAACAACTAGGGTGATCTCAGGTGCTCCGAAAGGGTGAGGCTCTGAAAGATCGAGCAGATCCTGCTCCATGTGTTGCACCCGTTGTGTTGCTCAAATAAGGGCAAAAGTATCTAATTTAACTTGACATGAAAAAATAACAAAATCTGATAAGTTCAAACATGATAAATATGAAGACAAAATGATGTTTGCATACCGTCAAAATAATTTCAAAACTAGGTTAGCTTCCGAATTAACTTTCGGTACTGTTGTGATTCAAATTTCTTCCGTACAAACTGTAATCCAGTATAATCTCTTTTGCATTAAAACTTTACATCTATAGTGTTTAATAGCAACAAAAGAACGGACATAACCTATGTATGAAAGTATTTAACTTCCATTTAACAGAAAATTTTCTTGTTACTATTGGGTTTAAATGCTAAATTGATGTTAATTTACAACAAAGTTTTTTTTATTAATATATAAACCTAAAAATAGATAAAATTTCGTTTAAAATTATGAATGAGATAGTTCACAAAACATTTTTTGGTGAATGAACTAACCTTTTATTTTTTGATTTTTATTGTGATAGAAATATATATCAATCATCTTTCAGATACTGGTTTTACAAACAGATTCACCAAAGTAAAAGTACAATGAAGTTACAATTATCATCTCTTCACATAAACAACTCACTCTCAAAATATTGGAATAATGATTGTAACACTAAACTAAGAGAAATCTAAAAGTACTCTCCTAAACTGCAGAAAATAAAGGCGAAGGTCCGGTAAGGACTATTTGTATTGTCAAAAACAGCCCATATTGATATAACAAACGTATTCTTCTTTCCAATAAATATATAAAAGTTTAGCCTTAACAAATTTGTAAAAATGCTATGTTTTGGGGCCAAAAAGGTGTCTTACCGGGCTACTCCTTTTGTCAGTTTTCTTTCTTATCCTAACAAAATATTCGATCCGGTTGAAAAATACTAAAGTGCTTAATAATAAGATGCTAAGTCCGATTTTCCACTTTGACTTATTTATACAATTTCTGCATACGTCTTTCAATGATGTCCCATAGCTATTACAGTTCTTAAAATTTTAGAGGCCAGAAACTATAGTATTATGTTATTTCTAAATGATCTGTTTCAATTATTCATGCATAAGTCTTACAGTTTCGAATATCTTTCTATATATAACAACAGATTAAACAATTGGTTCTTGATTAGTCATACATTGTAATCATATTTGCAATTTTTCTCAGTTTATATGTAAACATGTTGCAGTCGTATCATGCTGCGCTTAAATTATTTTTTATCATTTCACAAGCTTTAATATATTTATTTCTGGTTATACGGTTATACAGTGTTCATGTCTTCCTAGCACATTTTTAGCTTTTATGTTGATTTCTAATGCATAAGATATTTTCTATTCATTCATTTCAGCAAAACATAGTTTCTGACTACTAGCTTCATGTACATTGTAACAGGAAGTAATATGTTCCTGCTGTTACTGATCCATATAAATGATCTTTTAAAAGTAACAGCCCAACGTAAGTTCAGTTTTCTCATGTAAGCAACAAGTTGTAAACTTATTGCGTCCAAAACATTTTTATTCTATACTTATTGTTTTACGAGGAACGCACAAACCGAAAATTTGTAAGCCAGCATAAATAATTACTTGAAGGGGGCCTCGGTGGCCGAGTGGTCTAAGTAGTTGCTACTGTAATCACTAGCCAGTCAACACTGAGGTTGTGAGTTCGAACCCCGCTCGTGTGGATGCACTCGACTCCAATCTTAATTGACTAGGATTGTCAGTTTTCCTATCGAAGGTCGGTGGTTTTCTCCGGGCACTCCGGCTTCCTCCACCAATAAAAACTGGCTGCCACGAAATACCCCAAAGCGGTGATTAAAAGTGGCGTTAAAACATCAAAAATCAAAAATCAAATTAAATAATTACTTGATTATGCAAATACTTTCTAATTTTTAAGGGTTGATATCCAACGACCATAAAATTAATCGTCTTTTAGTAGTCTTACACTCACCCTGCGTTGAAAACGCGTTGCTATCATGTTTGAATCATGTCACTTCAGCATGTGGTCCTGAAATGTCTTTCACCAACACCATGTAATGTCAACTTTATTTGAGGGAGGTACAACAATAAATAAAAGACAATTACATAATCTTGTTAATTGTACCATTTGAATTATGCCAATACCGAAGCGCTCTTGGCTGTAATATACCACTGGAAAAAAATTATGAACTTTCAAGTTGAATCAAACATAAAAGAAAATTCGAGAACATGATTAAATAAGGTATGCCCACTGTGATATTGAATTAATTTAGTGCTGTTACTTTAATGTGAAATGTATTTGTTTAATATCATGTAGAGTAAAATATTTGACCAAAAATTACTTTTAGCTTATCAGAATCATTTAGTCGTGGTACTATCAAAATGAAAAAAAAGTAGAATTCGAGTGAATATCTAAAATAAATTGATGTGCAAGAAAAGAGGAGATGGCATTGACACCTTAAAATGAACTTGGAGAAAAACAAATGCAACAGACGCAACAATTAAATGCATTAAATGCAGGATTCTAATATGATTTTTATATTCAATATCTTCAATTAGTTCCTCATCAACAGATCATTTCAGGCCAGAAATTCATAAAGAATATCATCCCTTTCCTGCAGCAAAATATTGATGAACATTTTCTTTATCTATTCTTTTGAAAGGGGTATATTTGCCAATTATTCCATGTATTAAGTGGGGTCTTGTATTATAAAATGCTTTCTTCATTGACAAAGAGAGGAAACTATACAGTGCTTTTTCTTTGCGACAGAGTTGACACAAGATGTACTTTGTTATGTTGCTTACTAATTATACTTGTTATACACTCGTGGGTATCAAGACGGTATGACGTGTATTTGCAAAGATAATTGTTACCAAGTGTTTTAAAGATGTATATACGATTTCATAATGTTTAACGTTGTACGTTTTTGCAAGTAAGAAGTTGAGAACTGAAATAATTTGAAAACGTGTCATATGGATTGGCCTAAAATGTCCTTTTAGACTATACATGAATAAGCAATAACTCATACTTGCTGAGAGAGAAATATTAATCGCAATATTGAACGGACAAAGGCACACACAGTTAAATCTCCTTGAAGCGGTGATATCATTATGATGTAGATAAAAACATGAAAAGAACAATTTTATAGGCTTATGAGGTTCGATAAATATATCTTCCATTTAATCTGATGCTGTTTTAAGCTGCTCAATATAATGAACTCTGAATTCAAGAAAACAGTTAACATCTACATAAGTTATTTCACGACAGTTTGTTTTGAACATAACAGACAATCGCAACCGATTCATATTTCAGAGGAATACCACATTTTCTATGTGAAACAAGGTTTAACAACTTTACTTTAGTTTGTTATAAGTTTTAGATACATGTTTGAGTGTTTTAGACCTTATACGAAACAAAATTTAATCTCAGAAATGTTGATATTAATGTAAGATGTTTTAACTTTTTTTTATGGATCACTTGATACAACAAACTGCTTCTGCAAAAGAAAGAGGCGGAACATACCAAGGAGACATTCAAAACTCATAAGTCGAAAAAACTGACAACACCAGGGCAAAAGAAAGAAACCAGACAAACAGACAATAACTTTATAAAACAGTACATTGAAATAAAAAGACCTGAGAAGCGTTAACCTCACCAAACATGTGCCCGAAAGTGAACTCAAGTGCTCCGGAAGGGTAAGCAGTCCTGCTCCACAGGTGGTACCCGTATTGTTGCTAATGCAAGTTTAAATCCGGCGGACAGGCTAATTAGGTAGTGTCACAGTCAAGGATAAGAGGACGGTATGCTGGTGACGACAATTGAACGTAACTGCATATTCAACGAAATAAGCTATTTAGACATGTGTTTTATGTTTCGATCATATTTACTACGTATTTTACAGGTAATCTTACACCGTTTGGCACAGCAACACAAAGTTCTCAGATTGCTTCGAGAGGAAGACCTCGTTATGCTTTACAACCGCCTATATCAAATGACTTTACTCTTGATATATGTTCCCACACATTCCCTGGTAATGCACCGGCTTGGTGGATGTTTCAATTTTCCTTCGGATTGGGTTACATCACCGATGTAACAATCTACTACAGAAAAGACTGTACGTATATACAAAAATAACATAACTACATAAATATTCTAGTTTTTTATATTTAAATAATAAAATGAAAAACGTTGGTGCATTTGAAGCGCTTTTTTTGGGATTTCTCTCATCGGGAACGCTCAAAACAAGAAATTAGACATATAAGTTGAAGGAAATATACAAATATGGAGCTATATGATTAAAAGGGACATTAAAAATGTAGCCAAACCATCTTAAGTAAACTTTAATTGACTTAATGGAGTTGAAACCTTAGTTTGTTTTCAATTTCCAAATTTAATGTATATATTTAGAAGTATATGTTGGCAAACAATATAAAGGACCAATCATTGAATAATGGGCTTATGATACCATCGGGGACTAATATTCTAACAAAAGTTGTATCAATCCGTGATATGTGATAAAACTGAAATTTCTATACGTAAAAGCTCATTCAGATGTAATCAAACAAAAAATAAAATGTGATTAGACAGCACATGTGCCCTCTCATAAAAAAAAGAATATTTTCAACATAGGTCTGTGTGTGTTTAAAAGTATAATAGGAAACCAGGCTTCATACCTTTGATTTTACTGAAACATTTACCGGATTTGTTTTTGTGTTCATAATAAGGTTCTAAAACCCCTATAAAATAATGAAAACAACACGTTATAAATTTCATGCGTCCGAAGCGCTTTTCTGGATTTATCTTCATCAGGAACGCTCAAAGCCTAATATTTGAAAGCCAAGAATGTATAATAACCTAAACAGTTGAGGAACTATATAACCACAAAGGACCAAAAAATAACCAAATTCATCTAAGGTCGACTTTGCCTGAGGGAATTGAAAACTTAGTTTCTTATAATTTCAAAGTTTATTAACAGACAATTTTAGAAAGGTTTGTTATAACTCATGTCAGTACCGAAGTACTGACTACTGAGCTGATGATACCCTCGGGGACTGATAGTCCACCAGGAGAGGTATCGACCCAGTGCTGTAAAAAACGAAAACAACACATTATAAATTTCATGCGTCCGAAGCGATTTTCTGGATATACTTTCATCAGGAACGCTCAAAGGACAAATACTTCTTACAGGTTATACTTAGACAAAGCCTATTTTCCAAATATTTTCTATTTAAAAAGAGCTTAAGTTGCACGGTTGGGGGTTTTAATGGGAAAATTTATATTTTCTTGTTTAAAACTCCGATTCTGGATTGAACCTTCGTCCTGTGAATGTTACATGGACTCTGATCAATATAATTTCCATTTTTCCATTATTGTGTTATAAGGATTATGCCCTGTCTTGTTAATTAAACAAGCAGTATTAACGATTTGTTGGGCGACATTTTAGAACGCGTTCTCCAATAGTATTCGCTTTTAAATCTTATTGTTTTTGTAAATAAACAATAAAGAATATATTACAAAACTAAGGCTCCAATTTCCTTAGGCAAAGTCGAACTAAGATTATATGTTTTGGCTATTTCCCGTTTAGTCATATAGCTCATTAAGTACTTATTTATACCTAGTGTCCAAGGTTTTTGATTGGATCCTTCCTGATCAAGGTAATTCAGAAAGGACATTCGGACGCATTGAATTTATAAAGTGTTATTTCATTTCATATGTGTGCGGTTCTTTATTATTATTATTATAACGCTCAAATCAAAGTTTTGGGACATATTGTATTTGTCTTGGTTTGTTCTTTTTATTATTGTTGTTCTCTTTCGTAGCACTTTTTTATTTCGATTAAGGTTTATTACTTTTTTGGAAGTTGAAAGGATTGATGCGTTATTACTTGATATGGTGTTTGTAAAACACGACGCCATATTGACATAATTTCAAGGAACCAATAAGGGTGGTGGGTTAATTATTTCATGTTTGTTAGATACAAACAGTGTCTAAAAATGTAAAAGCTTCTAGCTAATTTCAATTACATTTTGTGACAAAACTGTATGAACCTGTTAGGAGTGTTTTGATGGTTTTTTTTTTTCAGTATCCAATCAACAGCTGTAGTTGCCTTAGCTATCTTTCTGTAGTAGCGAGGACATTTTGACCCTTCTTTCTATATTATGAAACGTATTTTTATTTCCTTCTTCATGTAAGTGTTCATCATGTAGATAATTACACTGTGAATGTGTGTTAATGTGTGTTTTAGTTTTACAACAAATGACTTAAAACGTAAAATAGGAGACGTTTACAGTGTTGACACCTGGACTTGCTCCTTTTAGAGTTCATGCTATTTCCCCGTTTTTTGTGTGTTACCTTGACATGTTTACATCAATTAATCAGCCCTGCTTAGACGTAATTTGCATACATTCACAAATGAAAATTGATACAATTTTTATTACAGTTGCTTATCGCATGGATGGATTTGCGTTATATGTGACCAATACATCAACCATTCCACCTGATGGTTATCTTTGTTATGAGGATCCTGATCCTGGTCTCCCAAACATCACACAAACTATTCCTTGTAATCAACTTGGGAAATATGTCATATACTACGATAATAAAGGGTCCAATGATGGATCATCGGTCAGCGGACCTATAGTTGAATTATGTTACGTTGCCATCAATGGTGCGTTAAGTATTATTCCGTATCAACCATATGTTTTCTTCAAGCAAAGTTTATGTCCCACTTTGTGCTTTTAAATCTTTTGAATCCTTTTATTGCATCAGCTTTTCATAGTAAAATTAAGGTTAAAGTTCTAGAATATTTTTGACATTGGTTCGTACTAACTACGATTATAATCCAGCATTTCCAGCGCAAAGTTAAAAAAAAAAAGACGTCCAATACAGTAACAGTATTCGTATTTTTTCACTTTATTGAAAAAAATACTTCATGCCCATATTGATTATGTTTTACAACAAGATTCAAGTTTCAAGATGCAAGATTTTTTTTACCCAATCATTTTGACCAACAAGTATATACAGACAAATAAGACAAGTACTTGTACATCATGTACATTAAACAAATGATATTTATATATTTATACTATAAATATTTTAAAAATTCTGCCCTCAGTCTTTTTTGTCAATAGGAGTAAATTTGTTAGCTTTAGAATTAAGACAATATTTTAAATAGTCTTAAATATCTGGGCATTTTGTTGTATCTACGATCTACTATAATTGTTAAAATTTTATCGTTATTTCTAAATTTAAAAATCTAATGTTGATGTTCAATGTTTTTTGTAAGTTATTTAAAAGATGTTTGGATTATCTAAGATAATAAATATATCTAATAATTAGTAACTAAAAAATATCAAATGTAATCACGTGCAGGTGCGCTCGACTCCAATCTTAATTGACTAGCATTGTAAGTTTTCCTACCGGAGGTCATTCGTTTTCTCCGGGCACTCTGGCTTCCTCAATCTATAAAAACTGGGCGCAACGAAATAAAACAATAGTGTTGAAAGTGGCTTTAAACACCAATCAATTAATAACAGTTTTTGGTAAGTTATTTTTAACGATAAGATGTTTGGATTATCTAAGATAACTAATTAAAAAAAATGAAATGTTTACTTTTTCTTTCTTTTCTATTTTTGTTTTTTAGTACTTTTGTACGTGAAAAGTTATGTTGGTAAAAACATACAGTTCTACATACGTTTGCATTTTAATACATAATATTATATTTTGTGTCAAATAGTGTTATTCATAGGCATTCGATGGATACTATATTTGTAAAATTCGTAGTTAGTGAAAACCCAGGAATTTAATACATGACAAAAAATCCAATCTTCTATATTTGACAAAAAGGAAACAAGTAATTAGGAACCCACGTAGTAGAAATCTTTCTCCGGCCTCAAAATTTGTATTGTTTACACTTATGTATTATGACTTATAAATGTTAATCGTTGTACCATGATGCTTTCAGGTTGTCAAAAGAGCCGCTGGGGTAGTAACTGCGAGAAATTTTGCTCCGAGAATTGTATAGAGCAACATTGTTACCTTAGAAATGGTTCTTGCGTTTGGAGTTGTAACACTAATAATTGTTTAAATGATATTTGCAATACATTTAGTGGAGTTTGCACTGATGGTTGTAAGGAAAGACGGACCGGAAACTATTGTAACAAATGTAAGTAATTGTGCATATACTTATTTGTAATAACAAAAGATATTCTACTCCAACAATTGTAATAAGTGTGTGAATGTACAATATAAAACGTCCATTTGAGAACCTAATATACTATGAACAACAAATTTATTTATTTGGTGAAAAACATTTCCGTTTTCAATTTAAACTGTATACCTTACAACAAAAAACGTACTTTCTTGTTAATTTGACCTGTTGATACTATTTGTAATGCTTTTTGTTATTTAATGTTTACTTATTCAGGGTTATATCTCGTCTATATACCAGCTTTGATAAGTGTTTGGTATGACTATAAATTTTCACTTCTTCGTACTATGAACAACAAAATTATTAGTTTTGTAAAAAATATTTCCGTTCTCCATTTAAACTGTATACCTTACAACAAAATCATTTTCATTTACCTGTGTATATTATTATATTTGGCTTTTTTTTGTTCAAGATTGTTGTTTTTTTTAAATTGTTTAACATCTCACAGCGGTATACTATTGTTGCCTTTATTTATTCACCCCTTGTTTTATTGATTTTGTATTTACATTGTATCATATATCAAATTTATTCGTTCAGTGTATGTCCACTTGTGTTAATATGTCTTTTGATTGAGTTAAGCCATTTCAATTGATATTTTATAGTGTGTCTTTCTATGTTGTGATGTTACACTATTGTTTCAGATAAGGGTGAAGGTTGGTACCTATTAAAACGTTTAAACCCGCTGCATTTGTTTGCACCTGCCCTAAGTCAGGAATCTGATGTTCAGTAGTTGTCGTTTGTTGATGTGGTTCATATGTGTTTCTCGCCTCTCTTTTTTTTTATAGATTAGACCGTTGGTTTTCCCCATTGAATGGTTTTACACTAGTCATTTTGGGGGCCCTTTATAGCTTGCTTTTCGGTGTGAGCCAAGGCTCCGTGTTGAAGACCGTACTTTGACCTATAATGGTTTACTTTTAAATTGTGACTTGGATGGAGAGTTGTCTCATTGGCACTCATACCACATCTTCTTATATCTATTATATTATTAATTTTCTGAAGTTGTTAATGACTTCTTTGACCTACCTTTCAGTAACTGCGAGTACTCTAAGATCTGTACTTTCTGAATTTGTGTTTTTGTTAGTTTGTTTGTGCTTTGTATCGATCTGTTGAGTTAAGCTCTATTCAACTGACTGTTTAGTTTGTTGTTATGTTGTACTCTTACACCACTGTCCAGGTATAGGGAGAGAGGGGTATTGTTGGCGAAAGCAGACATGTTTCAAAACATCGTCATATCCTATATGTGCCTGTCCCAAGTCAGGAACCTGTAATTCAATAGTTGTCGTTTGTTGTTGTAAATCATAATTGTTTTTCGTTTTTTGTCTTGTGCATAGATCAGGACGTTAGTTTTCTCGGGGTCTTTTATAGCTTACTATGTGGTATGGGTTTTTGCTCAATGGTGAAGACCGAACTGTGACCTACAGTTGATAACTTTTACGTCATTTGATCTCTGGTGGAGATTTGTCTCATTGACATTCATACCACATCTTCTTAAATTTTTTTTATTTATACTGGCTATTCTGTTTATTTTAATTATTTAGATGCTCACATTGTTATTAACTTGATCGCGTGTACTGTTGAAAATACTGTAAATAGCCTTTTACTTTAATCATTACCTAAACAGATCTACAATTTTACGCCAATTACTATAATATTTATCCACTCTTATAGGTTAATTTTTACATTATTTTGTATGGTCTGTAAACTAGATGTTTAAAGCTTAACCATTTAACATCTCGAGAGAATAAGTATCATTATCAACGGGGCAGTATGGCTTATATATAGTTAACAATGATTTAGTTTGCGTAACACATGTGTAGCAAATTTTTATTTTATACATTTGACATCCTTAACTCTTGGCCGCGAGCTTACCAGATACACGTGCCATGCATGCTATATGTAAGGCATAAAGCATGTTCATATTCTCCCACGGCTGTTGACAAAACCTGTTTGTAAATGTGACAAAAGAGAGGCGAAAGATACTAAAGTGATATTCAAACTCATAAGTCGAAAATAAACTGACAACGCCACGGCTAAAAAAGAAAAAGACAAACAGACAAATAATAGTACACAAAACACAACATAAAAAACTATAGACTGAGCAAAACGAACTAAACCAAAAACTGGGGGTGATCTCAGGTGCTCCGGAAGGGTAAAGAGACAATCTAACAAGTGACAAATAATTACTTGTGTCATGTAGTAGCTGTAACCAGTATCATCTTCAATAAATTAAGTAAGAGAATAATTCTTAGTACATTTCTTTCATAGATAACATGGCATCTGACGGTTTAGTCGAGCTGACCCCAAAAGGTAGCCAACCAGGTAGTCTAGCAAATGATGGAAATAAAACATCATGTTCCAAAGCAGAGGGACCTACCGTAACATTTCAGGTTGACCTTCAGACAAAAAGCATTGTAACTGGAGTGTATATAACTTTTGGTGGTACGTTGGTTTACACATAGATAACAGTAGATATTTAAATTATTTCAAAACTGAATATTAACAGTTCCTTTCGAAAGTTATCAGGACTATCTTAACTATTCATAAAATGTTAACATTTTGATGTAATGTCACAAGCAACCTAATTTTTCATAATCTTTGACCATTATTAATCTACTGTTACTAATGAAACTTTAAACAATTTTGTTAGAAAGACGATTCGAAATTGTTGAAATTAAAAAAAAAAAAACTTTAACAAATCTATAGAGCGGAAGAACTTGAATTGGTACGGTAATGTTTTTAAGGACAAAAATGGAATTTAATTTTGAATCATAAGGAATGACTGTAATATTTTTTCTGTCTATTCGAAATAGCCTAAAGAATGTGGTGCACACTTTCAAATAACACACTACGTGGGTTATTCAGGGTGCACCACATTTTTTAGGTTATTTCTTCATAGACAAAACAATATTACAGTCATTCCTTAAATAACAATGATTCTTTGAATTTGCATGAATTCTAAACAATAATAGACATGTAGGCAAATATATCCATCAAAATCAATGAGACAGCGTTCCAACAATTTGACAAAATAAAAGGAATCTAGAAGTCGCCTGCTAAAGATGACGACCGATACCATATGAGAATCTATAAAAGGACTTATCGGTTTTTTTTGTTTTTTTTTGTGTATTCGACTGCTATCCAATATTTAATGTAACTTCTTTCAAAATAATTCCAATCTTTGTTACAATTTGCTGTTCATAAATTTTTAAAGTCGTTCGAAACACATATTTTCTACAACTAGGCATCAGTGTCATTGGCAAGTTTTGGAACAATGTTTCTGATTTTTTTTAATTAAGAAATAACTGTATTGTATTTGAAGCTTTGCGGACGTCCATCGGTAGTTTTACTGTCGCAAATTGAGTTTACCTGGCGACGCGTAGCGGAGACAGGTAAACGGATATTTGCGACAGTAAAACTACCGATGGACGTCCGCAAAGCTTTAAATACAATACAGTTATCTCTATTTTAATGCAAAATAAACAAATCGTTGAATTTAAGTCATTATTTCAGTGTAAAATTTTCATTAAACAAAAATTCCGCGAACTAATGTTATCTTCTTTGGCGCCTAAACTATGTGACGTCATAGGTAAGCTTCCGGCATCAAACGTAAACACCGGACGTTTTCTGGCTTCTTGTCCGCTTCAGAATGGAATAAAATTTGATAAAAAGAAAATTTGTATGTGCAAAATGTAAGTTTTTTTGCTTATTATTGGAGAAATTACATGTCAATACATTCGGGAATTCAAAATGTCGGCTTCCTTAGTTACAGACAAGGAGATAGAGAATTGTACGCTTACTGTCATCCAATCAGAACCATTGATACAAAATAATTGCATTAGAATTTTTAATGCTCTTCCACTTTGTTATTGATTTGACATTACAACTGATTTAATTATTTTGTTCCTCAAGATGTTTCACAGGACTTGTTAAAATATAGGTCCTGCTATAAGGTTATTCTGTCCGAAAGGCTTGTTACCTTTACGTCGACCGTAAAAACAAATATTCACAATGAAACTAATAAGTAAGTCAAGCAGTGTTGTCAGTTTAACTTCAATTAATGTGAACTTATTGTTTTCAAACTCAAATTTCAATGGAATGCATGCAGAATATCTATGGACATACAATGCTTCAAATTGAAACGTTTGACTTCATTATTTTAGAACTTACAAATACTACAATGGATGGGTATCATACCGTTTACGCTTCAAATACAAGCATTTCTTGGGAAAATGGAACTGTTCTGTATCAAGGAAAATCTTTGCCTACTGAAATCTACTTTAACGCCGTTTTCAGATATTTTACTTATGTACCTCCAGTCCAGAATATATCTTCTGAACTTGAAGTATGTGAAATTGGAATTGCTGGTAAGTGTTTTTATAACAACACAATATATCATTTGGAAATATTGTATATAAGAAAATGGTAGTAACTGCGTGAAGGAAATTATTTCATTAACATGATTAAGAACCCTTATAAAGCTTCCATCTCAGTGACAACATTCAAATACCATGCAATATCTCTTGTGAATTTCTTTTATGCATACAAGTTTTTAAATCGTTGGGTTGACTATTTTATGTCAAAATATTACATTTTAAAACGATTTCATAGTTTTGATCACTACAAAGTGTTCAAGTTATGTACAAACGGGGTAAAATAATTGACTTAGAACTGAATGTGTCTCACTATTGACAAATGTCTTTCTGAAATTTATCATTATTAAACGACAAATCTGAATCAAATTCCAAACAATATTCTTGTAATTCCACGATTTTGTCAAATCAGATATTTTTGCAAGCTATCAACCTTCGTAATACATCAAAAGGATAACAAAAATTACCAACAATATTGGACAGTACAACAGACCACATCAGCCATCAACTTTCGACTCCTCCGATAAATTGACGTTAAAACAAAGTGAGAATACAAAGAATATAATGGTGTAGATAGCCTGATACAGAAACAAAACGTGATGGGTTAAACAAGTTTTACGTGCGCATGAACCTTTACATTTCCCACCAAGACCAATCGTAGTATAACTAAAACACACAATAAAGCCCTGCACAATGCAGGAGGAGTAAAGTTTTCACCAAGAAATGTTGCAATACCCGGAGCCATTAAGGAGCGCCATTATTAACTTTGGCCTCATTCATTTCTCAATGCATTGACGTTTTATTCATGATTGATCATGTTGATTGATGTTTGTTTAACGTCCGGTGACTATTATTCAAAATAGACGAAAACAAATCAACAATTAATATACTAAGTAGGTTCTGTAGTAGGGTCTTCTGGGTTAGAGGTCGGGTAATTTTAACTGTCACTTGAAAATGAGGGTATGTTGGATAGGGACAGAAACAGGCCACCTACGGACCACTTAAAAAGTTATTGCAATGGTTCTTAACATGCAGAGAGCGTGGAAATTTCTCTACATGAGTCATCAGATTTAACGTTCCAATTCAGACCTGCCGCGTTTGCATATTTATACATCACGTACAGAAAAACGGACGCCGCATTTTAGCAAGGTTTTATGCCCCCGTTGTAGTAACTAGGACATTAAGTGTTACTCTTGACCGTCCGTCCGTCCGAACCATTTCAGTTTCCGCGCTTTAACTTAAGTTAGCCTTATCCAAGTTTTATGAAACTCATACACTATGCTAAGAACCAAAATTCGCAGAAATAGTTCGAATTGTAGTAGTTAGTCACTAACGGTTCTAGAGTTATGCTTGGAATATTGCAATTTTTTTCCCAGTCTAACTTGAGTTTGTCTGTTCCAAATTTTATGAAACTCATACACAATGCTGAGAACTACAACACGCATACAGAGTTCAAATTTGGGTTGGAAGTCATTAACCGTTCTGGAGGTATGCTACTTTTATACTCCGAAAGTTGCAAAGCTTGAGCGGGGGCATTCGTATCCTCAGACATTTTCTTCTTTTATTTCGTAATGACGGTCAGAAGAAGACCAAACGTATCTTAATTCTATTCGTCGGTCACCCCTGTAGGTTCGATTTTTATCCTGTTTAGATATCAAACTTGTTTTAGTCTTTTGGCTTCAATATAAATTCAACAAAATTTAAACTTACCAGCAGCATATTAACTGGATCATTTGTTTTTACAGACGATTGCCTAATTGAGAACTAAATCTGCTAACCCTTCCGTGGCACCTGAAATCCCTCCCTATTATGGTTTTGTTTGTGTTGCTCAGTCTATAGTATTTCATGTAGTGTTTCGTAAACTGTTGTCTGTTTTTCCATTGATCTGTCATGGTATTGCTTTCCTTTTGTAACCTTCTGATGAGAAGTTGAATGAGTACCAGCAAATGGAATGAATCTTTACTCACATAAATATTATCTGAACACGTTTATCGATATTTGAATATTATTCTTTTAACAGAAGACTTGATTTTGCAACGACGAGTATAACTATAGAACTGTTACAGAATTAATCGTATTTTATTAACAAATACTAGTATTGTTCCTTTACGATTGAGCAGCTAAAAATGTATCTATAGAATTACCTGCATAGAAAATCATGTGGTTCTATCCAATTATGTATGTTAAGCCATTTGTATCATACGCAATCCTTTGAATAGCTCTATATTGTTTGACTGTAAAAATTGAAACCTACGAAAATAAGAATATCATTGTCTCGGTTACATTATTTATACAATACCCATTAATCTACTCTAGATCTACCGTTATATTCGAATTATTGAAGTTAGGTTGTTCTATTTTATCATTAAACAACACAACGCAAAATGTTCAAAATTCATATCTAAGCTCGTTGTTGTCTTCGCCTTTTTTTCAGTTTGTTAGAGTGATGGAGGATTCTTGTTGCTCTATTTTTCGTTTCTGATGAGCGTTATGTGGAATGTTTGTCTTTTTCTTGTTTTTCTTTTTATCATGTTGTAGATGTAAACTGTTTGGTTTTTTTTTTTTTGCATTTTTTTATTGTAAAAAAATATTCATAAACATTTTCCTCACAAAAGTCCCAGAAAATGGGATTAGGAATTTTATATAAAAATTAGTCACATTATAGACATGTTAGACAGTGTTACAGAAAAATAATACCATCTTGAAAAAAAGTGACTTATTCTTTTCCCTTTAGGTTGTCCTCCTTCCCGTTATGGTCCTATCTGTAATGAATCGTGCCCAGGAAACTGTAACGGACCATGTGACCTTGAAACCGGAAATTGTATATTTGGCTGTTTAGAAGGATGGATTGAAGACAAATGTGAACAAGGTATACAATATAACAATAATAAGATGTAATATGAGTGCAAATGAATCAACTTTCCACTAGAGACAAAATGACGTTCATGTAAGCAACTATAGGTATCCGTATGGCATTCAACAATATGGAAAACAATCTCGTTATTTAGCTTCAAAAAGCTCCGTCATAACAAAATGTAATACAATTCAAACAAAACAAAACAGCGACTTGAATTATGTACTTCTCAAAAAACGGAAAAAAACAAATATGATAGACAGCATCCAACGACAACCACTGAATTACAAACACATTTTTATTATATTATTACTTTTTTGTGTTTTACTCACCTTTAAATGTCAAATACTTACGTTTGAAAACAACATGATCAGTTTTGAATATATTTTAAATCAAAACTGCATTCAAAGACGTAGATGATGGAAAGATAGAAAGCTGACGATTCAGTTAACCTCAAAAACAGGAACTCGGCTTGAAGCATGCTGTTTTAGCTCCATTATATAAGAATATTTAAATTGTGGTAAACACTTTTATATTATCAAAATCACAATTACGTGAAAAGATTCGTAAAACGCGCTTTGTGATAAAACACAAGTCATATGACATTCAAAATGGGGTGAATATTCCGAGGCATCGAAGTAGTTCCATAATAGAAAAGTAAAATAAGAATTTATTCATGCCATAACTGATCTATAAAGACATTCCCAGTAAAAGTTTGAAGTATCGTGTGGACTAATCATGCCTGGCTTTCATTCAAAATCAAAGTGTAATGTAAGCCTTTCTCAGTTGACCCTACGATAGAATCAGAATCCAACTACCGAAATCAGTTTTTAACCTACTTCCTCGCTCTCTTTCGTCTCAGGATTCAGTTCAGTGGATTTATTGATGAAATAAGGAAACTTTAAATGTTTGTTCGCCTATACGCAGTATAATTCTTTTCTCCTTTTTGGGAAGTGTATTTAATGCATTTCCGTATGTTCTATCTTATGCCACATTTTTTTAAAGCATGCCAAGATGGTGCATACGGTAAGGATTGTCTTGAGACATGTTCAGCAAACTGTTTCAATCAAACATGTAATAAAACTATTGGAGAATGCCTTTTGGGATGCAATAATGGATTGCAGGGATTCAATTGTACACAAGGTTTGAATTGTTTTCAAAGATTATCATTTTATTTCTTTGACCACATTTTCTCCATCATCATTTAGTAAAACGTTCATATGATTATGAAATCAATTCATGCTGATACATACGGTAAAGAGACAAGTTCAGCAACATGTTTCAACGAAACATGTAATAATGTATCTAAAGATCGTTTAGGCTGATATGGCGGATAGCCATTAGTCGATGCACAGAAAGTTTATATCTTTTCCAAGGATTTAAATATTTAGGTTTATTTATTTCTCACGTTAAACAGATTATATATCAATGAGAAAACGAGTAGCAGTATATTACTTCAAACCTGCATATATAAGTTTGACGTTGTAATTAAATGGAAATTTGCTCTAAATTTATGAATATGTTTTTAATATAGACTTACCAAATCTCTGATTCCTTTTCCGGCTTTGGCTATACTTTTGTGCTTTTTTGGTTTATAAGCCTTTCATCTTTTTAATAAGTTTTAGATTTTTAAATATTTTCGCCTTGATCATCACTGAAGAGACATTTTTTATCGAAATACGCATCTGGTGCATAAAAAATGGTACTGTTAATGTTATAGAACCAATTTAGTCAACGAGAATGTAAGTTAGGTACGCAAAAGTTTAAATGCGCATTTGAAGGCACTGCCTTAATACATTTTCTCGATAGAAATCAATAATTCACATTTGATAACAAATGGAAAAAACAGCAAATATCGTGTATTTATGTACCTGAATTTCAATGGTCGACATTCTAATTTTATTATTTATTCTACAATAATATGTACAGAGGTTTTCCTATGACATGTTTTTTTTCTTCAGAATGTCCTGGTGGTCAATTTGGGCGAAATTGTTCACAGTTTTGTAACGGTTGTATATCAAATATTTGTAATCATGTAAATGGATTATGTGACAACTCAACTGGTTGTAACCCTGGTTATGTATACGGAAATTTCTGCAACACAAGTACGTCTAGTATTGTATCATAAGTGTGAATAATCAAGTTTGTGCGCATTATTTCTAATGGTTAATTCTAACTTCTATTTGGAATGTTTGGTTTAATTGCTCTTCAACTTCGCATTTGATTTGGCCTTCCAACGGTGTTTATTTGAGCATCACTGATGAGTCTTATATGGACGAAACACGGGTCTTACATCCCAAACTAGAATGAGTTTCATAACAGCGTGGACATGGACACATAGTAATTAAATGTTATCGTGTGTATCACTGGCTGTCGACAACAAAGACTTCACGCAATTACAGTATGTCAGGGCCTCTCAATGGGGATATACATAATTACTATCTTTACACATGTCCATTCATAAAATAAAAGTTTTTGCATGAACGTTTTTAGGAATTTGTTTTGAATATATTTATATACTCACAACTGTCAAAAGAAACTTTTTGCTGTGAGTATATAAATATATTCGAAACAAATTCCTATAAACTTTCATGCAAAAAAAAACTTTTTACAAATGGACATGTGTAAAATAGGAATTATGTATATCCCCATTGAGGGGCCCCTGGCATACTGTAGTTGCGTGAAGTCTTTGTTGTCGACAGCCAGTGACCGACACGATATCTTTTAAATATCAGGTGTCAATGTCCACACTGTTATAAAACTCATTCTATAAGCGTATTATCCATGATGAGTTTTTTTTATACAAAATTGCCTTTTTTAATATTTGATGATTTGACCGTTCTTGGTAAGGGTTAAAAGGAAGTAAAAAAAATCATCTGAATGCAACGCACGGCGACAGTGATAAAAGACACGAATAAAAAGTTGAAATACCACTGTAGAAAAAGAATAATTACAAAAATTGATTTCTAGATGCACCCCAATCCTCTCATCCTCTCATATCCACTTCCAACTGACATTTCTCACTTCCAGACTGATATTTCTTAATTTCAAGTTGGCATTTCTCAGGTCCAACTTGGAAGTGAGAAATGTAAAGTTGGAAATGAAAAATGTCAAGATGGAACAACGAAATGACAAGTTGGAACTGAGAAATGACAACTAGGCAATGAGAAATGAAAAGTTGAAAGTGAGACATATCGACTTTGAAGAACACTTACTAACCAATGTTGAAAGAAGAAAATATTTTGATATTCTATTTTTCATTATTTTGTAATTTTATAGTGGATTAGTGAAATTTGAACATCGGCGAGCTACTGTTTCGTCCAATTGAACGAACGCTACATCTGTTTGTTTTTCTTTATTTTTAACGGACGGTAGTTCAAACAACAACTTCGTCATGTTCAAATGAAGCTCTGTATGTTGAACTTTATAAAATATACGGCACATAGTTTTACATCAAGACCTTGCAGCTAAAAATCTACTTGAAAGGCTTTGAAGTTTAAAAGCACAATGTGTGTTCCATTGACGTTGCAGATTTTAAATATATCATGCAATGTTTAAGACGAGTGCTGGCATTGCAGTTTTGATGTTAATGCTACATAAGGGTTGACTTATTTAAAAATGAGGAAAAAAACTTATGGTTCGCTCAAATAATTCATATATAAATAACTAAGACTTTCCGTAGATGGTGACCTTTTTGTCTAGTAATCATACGTTGACAGCCATCACACAACGTTATTACATGGCTGCCTCCCGAGAAAAAACAAATAAAATTTAAAAACTTAACCAGTAATGTTCCGTTTGATTACCGCGTCAGGATGTAGAAATTAAATTCTGATACACTCACTAACTATTGTTGAAAATATATGAACTGTTAGTCCGTCTATTCACATTGTAACTAGATAATCCTTTTTATTGAATTGTATCGTATGTCTGTCAGTATTTTTATTTTGTATACCACAACTTGTTTAAGCATGTCAGGCTGGTACATACGGTAACGATTGTCTTAAGACATGTTCAGTTAACTGTTTCAACCAAACATGTAATAAAATTACTGGAGAATGCCTTTTGGGATGTAATGCCGGATGGCTGGGATTCAATTGTACACAAGGTTTGTACTTGATTTTTTTCCAAAGATTATCTATTTATTTTTTTAATTTCATTTTAATTTATTAATAAAAAGATAATAGTATTTTTAGATCAACAGATAACATTACAGTACCGCACACCTACAAATTAGAACTAAACTTCAAGTTATATTTACTTAAAGTAAGTTCTTTTCTGTATTACGTATAATAATCGATGATATTAAAGTGGTACTTGAATAAATCAATTTTAAATAATATTTAAATCAATATTGATAATTCACAAAAATGAAAAAGGAGAAAATAACATGTAGTTAGGTACTTAAATTTTAATTTGCAAAGATTAAATTTTATTATTTTTTCTACAGTAATAAGTTCGGATTTTTTTCTTATAACCTTTTCAATGTTCCATGGTTTTAATTTAATTTTTGTATATACGGATATTCTTTCCTCACAAATTTGTTTCAGAATGTCCTTATGGAAAATTTGGGAGAAATTGTTCAGAGTTTTGTAAGGGTTGTATATCAAATATGTGTGATCCTGTAAATGGATTATGTGATAATACAACCGCCATTAAACCTGGTAATGAATGTAGAAATTCCTGCAACCCAGGTAAGTTAAGCATCGTATTAAAATTGGGCATATACCAGTACGTGTGAAGTCAGGAACCTCGTATTGTGTCATATCTTCATGTGTTTCGTTTTGGAGAATTCAGTATTGGTTATGTTCATTGTTTTCTTATACTCTATGGACTCACCACGATTTAGAGCTTTACCGAATTTGACCTACCGCATTAGACATATCACCGGGTTTGTACTTACATGCAAGATCTTAAATTCTTTCCGGACCACCCCCAGTTTTTGGTGGGGTACGTGTTGCTCAGTCTTTGGTTTTCTTTGTTGTTTTGTGTGCTGTTGTTTGTCTTTTTGTCTTTTTGTCTTTTTTGGCCATGGCGTTGTCAGGTTGTTTTCGACGTATGAGTTTGAATGTCCCTTTGGTATTCTTCGCCTCTCTTTTACATATTGAATAGAAGTGCGTCTATGGTAAAGACTGTAGTTTACCAACTTCACATCAACTTAATTCAATAGGGTGCACATAACTACTTAGCAACCCGACTGATATCTAGTTTTGACTCATAAAGCAATATTTTACAATTTAAACCTTTACTTGTACAAAGCAGTGAATAATTCATTAAAACTATACAAACTATTTTCATGACACTTTTTTCGTTACATCTAGAAAGCTATGTTTTTTATATTATTAATTTCAGTTTCTACAAACAAATCAGAAAGTGATCACCCAGTATCGACCCAGATTGGCATTTTTACTGGAGGTTGTCTGTTCGGTTCACTGGTGACAGCTGTTATGTGTTTTGTATTAATGAGAAAAGGGCAATTACGGAAAAGACAAGGTAAGAAGAAGCGTCAACTGAACTTGTTTAAAAATTATTTAAAATGTACATACCACAAGGTAATAAACCAAATACTCAAGTAAAATGTCGATATCAGTATATGGGTAAACCGCCAATTTCGTCATGAACTGTAAATGTAAATTGAAATATGAAGAAGAGTTCATAGTAACATTAGATTCATGAGTTTATATTAAGTACACATTAGATACTCTATTTTTCAAAGATTATGTACATTTCAGTTAACCCTATAATTATCAAAGTGACATTTATGTCTTCTCCATCAAAAGATAAAAACAGAGGCGGAAGATACCAATGGTACAGTCAAACCTCATAAATCGAAGAGAAACTTACATTGTCATGTAAAAAAAACGAAAAACGACGAAAAGACGAACAGGTTCACTAAACACTACATAAAAACCTAAAGACTTAGCTACTCGAACCGTCCAAAAACTGGGGAATAACTCATGTGCTCCAAAAGGATGAAATGTTTCTACTCCACATGTAGCAACCGTCGTGTTCCTGTTTAAAATATTAACGTCATTGAACTATTGCACAAATTACAAACGAAACGATGAATGCTGGTGGTGTACATATATAGTAAAGTTTCTGTTCTTTTTAAATGTAATCAATCTTTAGCTGAAAAAAGTGGATAGAATTGTTTATGGAGAATTTGAATAGGCTGATAACTATACATTGCAACTAGTTTGAATGCCTAGTATGACATGTAAAACAAATGTTGAACAATCTGTATAAGCTGTAACGCAAAAAATGTAAAAACAAAAAAAAATGGTTTGGTTGCAAAATAAGACAACTTTACACCAAATGCCCTGAATGTTCGCAACTATATGTCACCAAACGACCAACGATAAAGAGCAAAGCCAATACAGTACCGTCAGATATAATAGACCCATTGGTGGCCTTGTGCTGTTTTCTGCTCTTTGGTCGTGTTGTTGTCTCATTGACACATTCCCCGTTTCCATTCTCAATTTTAAAAACATGACAAAATGTGAAACATTCAACAAGAAAACCAACAGCCTGAGTTATCTTAAAACATCTAGACCTGATTTGAAAAACCATGTTCAACAATGGATTGATCGACTTGCTAGCAAACTGTGTGCGGATGTTTGCTCAGCATTGTAAGGAAGATTGACATCTGCAATAAATAGATCGGCGGGGCTTAAGCTTGTATACATTATATAGTTTTTGAAAATTGGACGTTAAGGTTAAGGACAAACCAATTTCAGATGGAATCATCACATGACAAATTTCATACACACGTGCTTTATCATCTGGATTAAATTCATCATTCTGATTATTTGTAATTATGTCACTGGAAAGTTCTAAGCCTTGTTTGAAACGATTTCAAAGTCAAAACTGAATATTACATTATTATCCTTAAAAAAATGCATAACCCCCCCCCCCCCCCCCCAAAAAAAAACAAACAAATAAGGCTGTCATATGAGTAATAAGTCTCAGAACTGGAAGGAGTATTCTCTTTATAAGTTGTATTCGACTTTAAAACGAGGTTGAGATTAACGAAATAAGATAACACTGTGTTTTGGTAATATAAAAGTTATTTGTATTTTCCTCTTACTTAACTTTGCTTTTACTCCTATTCAATGCTTACGAAATTCTCGGCTGGTATTTGGTCTAGATGATGAAAACCTTAATGACATTGCAAATATGAATGCTGAATCCCTATATAATTTTGGATATTTTTCATGTATTTTTTTAATCATTTGAATACGTTTGTGCTTTATGAGTTGAAATACTACATCATGTTGATCTTCTTCACTACAATCCCGAGTAAGACTTGATATAACACTTATTATTTTCTACCTATGATAGCAAATATTTCCTTAGTGTTTCTTTATTTGTGAGTGAGTGCTGTTGATATGAATTAGATTTTTGTTTAGATTGATTATTCATATTATTTTTTTAAATGCTATGCCAAATTTATAGAGATTTTACAGTTGCAAATATCCGTTATCCATATTAATCAGTAAACTCAACTTCTACGTCATTTGGTTTCTGGTGAAAAATGTCTCATTCACAAGCAAACGAATTTTTTTTATTTTTATACTGAAAGCTCTGTTTATATGGTGCTTTGAAAAAAGAATAAAATGTCAAACAAAACAAGTTGTATTTTGATACTTTAATAAGGCGTGATACGAAACACTATTATGCATGTGAATCAAAGAGTAAAAACTCTTTTATTTTGAAGCAAGTTGATAATAAACCTATAACAACAAGAACAAATTGTATGCAAGAAAACGATGGAGGTAATTACAAAATAAAAAATGAAATGGTTAAAACCACTTTTTTTTTGTCGATTCAAACAATTCCATTCATTTATTTTTATTTTTTTTTGACGCCCCGACCCTAGATTTTCAAAAATATCTCTTAAAACAAATTATCAAAAAATGTTGGCCTTAGCAGTTTACATGATAGTATTTATAATTACATTACATTTATGATCATGTATGTTTCATACGAATCCGTACTTATGATTGGCTGACAATAATCGGTACGCATTCCAATATTAGATAATATATCCCAATAAAAATTTAACTTCCTGACAGCATGTGCTTCCCATGACAATGTCCCAACAATGCATAGGAAAACAAAAGACAGTTGTGATAACTCGTAATCTTAAAAATGTAATTGAATGTTTCTTTTTGTAACTTTATAGGGTCAGTGTAAAAGTGTTGATCGTGTGCACATTTTTAGTATAAAGCGGTTCCGGAGGTGTGTTTTGAATAATAATAAGACAAATATCCTCCATATGTCTATTCCTTATATTCCTTTTTCTATGTTGTTTTAATATATTTACATGTAAAAGGGACTTTATTCTTATACATTTCTCGATACACATTACACAGATTGCTTAATGTCTGAGGGGTATTTTTCAAGGTCAAGTCTCTCACGTACGTTATTATTATTCATTGTCCAATCAAATCTTTGTAAACTCTACCCCTCTATTGCAAGTAAATGTCAATTTAAATAACATTCTTGAGCAAACAAGATATATAAATAAATATATAAACAATGCAAGCAAGCCAACTAAACTTTTGACCGACAAGCTTTTGGAAATTAGATCTTTTGCGAAATATAGAGAACATTCGAAAGGCTCATAGGAAAGTCACATAAATAATTTGATGTAGTTAAGCATGTTTGTTGGTTGCTTGTTTAACGTCCAGTGGCAAATTCATGCATGTTCAGGACAAGAGCAATTTAATAAATACAATAGGTAGGTCCTGTAATAGAGGCCGTCAGCGGGAAAATGAGGGTATATTGGATAGGAACAGAAATTAAGTCTTCCAACAGGCCATCTATGGACCCCTTAGAGAGTTGTTGCAAGAGTTCTTCACGTGCAAAGAGCGAAGCACTCTTTTTTTCACGAGGCATCGAATTTTACGTCCCCATTCTGACCGGACCTGGCTGTGAACTTATACATCCCGCATAGCCTAACCGGCTATGGTGTCGTTGGTGTCATGACGGAACTCATTACGAAGTTTAACATCAGTACATCCCTACTCTTTATTCCATCAAAGATCAATACTATCATTCAACTCGATTTTTTACAGTCCAAGTATTTGCTTTTATTTGTATACTAATGTAGATATGTTCTTCGCCTCTCTTTTTTTAATCTTGATTTAGCACTTTATTTTATTTAAGTTATACGATTTAACGTTTGATAAATTCAGTTGTTTTGTGTTTGCTTTGATCAAAAGTGTCGAGCATTACCATAATTATTTAAGTGCCTTGAGAGGTCAATTAGATAGCTTTTAAACCAGATTTAATTAACCATTTTCTTTAAAAAAATCCCTGTACCAAGTCATAAATATGACGGTTGTTTTCAAGTCGTTCCTAATGCATATTGTCGAGCGTTTAATTTTGTCAGTTTTATGGAAATTAACCTCGGAGTTCGGGATTTTTATTTTAAAATATTTTTATATAATATAATATTTGTTTTAGCTTTTTTGCATTATTCAATTCTGTATTGTAAATTGTAAAACGTTATATATTATATTTCATAACAATTTATACCTCATTTTTATATGCAACAGAGAAAACACAGAGGTATGTATGCAATCGAAGATAAGATTGTTTCTCTTATGGTTGCTGCCTGTTATCTGTTTTTTGCATGAAGAGATATCTCTCGTCTCACACTACACGGAGTGTGATACGAAAAAGAGATACGAACATCTGCGTTAATTTGATTGGCTTATCCAGCATCATGAGACAATATTACGAAATGTCCATTGGCTATTCGTTAGGTCATTGATGACTTTCAAAGGTTAACATGGTTAAGACGATGTACATTTTGTCCATGGCAACGGGCATATTTGATTTCTTCAATAATACACAAAACACTCACACTTTTCACCTGAAAATCTTTTTGTCAAATTTTATTATATTCTGAAGCGTACAAAAAGTTTTAAAATGTCCGATGTTAAAGTTTGATACTGGAACAGGACATATGACGTCATACTTGTATGTGCAAAAGACTAGATCAACTTTTCACGGAATTTTTTAATTTAACAACTTATGAGAATTAGATATTGCTTGATATCAACTCTCGTTACTTAGTAGGCTCGTTTATTATTATATTGAAATTAAATAACTCGAGTTGATATCAAGTAATATCCAATTCTCAATCGTTATGAAACCTATAATTATTGGTA